GTCTTACCCGCTACGGCGAGCGGGGGACCCTTAAAATCTCAGGCGCTGAAGCCTGAGAGCAAGGAGACTCGGTGGGCACCTTTGCGCCCCGGTACTGTGAAAGAGCCTTTTTAAAGGCTCCGGAGCGGCATCGGGAGTGAGCGCGGTCTGAGAGTCGCTACCCAGCCTGCGGAGTGAAGCCGCGTCGCCATAAGCGGAGAGCGCCGATTTCTTCCTGAAAAGAAAATTCGGACTGAATTCCCGTGAGTAAGAGCAGAAAAAGAATCGGGACCCTTTAAAATTTGAAAATCTGGCTGAAAACGGGAGGGAATAAAATAAGGAAGTCTGCCCCCCCCCGGACTGCAGAAATTTAAAGCAACGAAAGACCCGCTGCAGTTATAAGAAACTTAGTTGCGAACTGTCAACCCTGAGCTGTTAAAAGTATCTCTTCCCCCTGATCGGAGGAGAAGGGGGAAAAAAAAGACAGTCTTGCGAAGATACTTTTAATTCAAGGGAAACAAAGTTTTCCACTGCCCTGATCCCCTGGGGACGATCTGCCAGGAGTTAACACCGGGAAAATTGTTCTTTAAAATAGGTATGAAGTGGATATAGACTATACCTTAAATGGTGAACGAGTTTTAAGACTTGAACGGGACTGTGTCACAGATATTGGATTAGCTAAATCTACTTGGAGAAAAAGTTTTAAAATACTTTAATGGCGGACTTTTGACTCTTTACATCCGGCTTTCTGTTTCTTTGTTCCCTCTGACTTGGACACTATTAATTGCTCCCTCTGGAGGACTAAGAGGGAAAAAACTGTAAAGTAACTGGCTGACAGTGGGATTTTCCATTGCAAGTTTTTCCTGTGAGAACGGCCTTGGGATATGAGTGGCACGGCAGAGGAGATAAGAACCAGATCTAAAGCTAAAGTGACACAAAAGAAAAGAGGCTCAATCTCTGGCAATACAGTGCCTGCACCGGAAAGTGTGACAGCAGCATCAATGGAATCTATGACACAGGCACTGCTTAAAATAAATCAATCCCTAGAGGCCTTAACAAAGCAATCTACAGAAAATACAAAGAAATTGACAGAACTCACAGCAAGATTGGACTTGAACACCACGTCAGTGGCGACTAATACAGAATCTATAAATAGACTGATTCAGGAATCTACAGAAACTAGGAAAATTGCAGAGAGTGCAAGATCTATTGCCGGGGAGACACAGGAAAAACTTGCACCGATAGAGAAAAAGGTGAATGAGCATGAAGCGGCCCTCTCCTTACTGGAGCTAACACGGAAAGACGGAATCTGAAATTAAGACAGGTTCCAGAGAATGAAAAGGACAACCTGACGGAATTTCTCACAGAGGCAATTTTGGAAAATTGGCAAGGAGATCTGGAGGAGGATGAAGTAGAAATAACAACTGCTTTCAGACTTGGTAGAAAGCAAAGTGAGAAGCCAAGGGATTGTCTGATCACCTTCAGAACCAAAGGGGAAGAGAATAAGATACTGGCACTTCACAAAGAGAGCGAACTTGCGGAGCAGTCCTTCTCCGGAGGGAGGAGGGAGGACCGCCATTAAGCGCTGGCACCGACCGGAAGTCTATCTGATTATGCATCTTTTCTACCTCTAAGAAGGGATTCAGGGAGGGACTGTAAACTAATCTAATCTGGAGCCCGTCAGGTGGTCCAGTAAAAAGATTTCGGTTAAGTGGAATTTTCACTGTTCAGTGGAATTACATTGGTACTGTCGGATGTGAGAACATATCTGTCCTTGGCATTAATTGGGGATGCCTTTGTGAGCACGACACTGCTGTGTGTATACTTGTGCTTTTGTGTTCATAGGTGGTATTGGATTAGGGTATATGATTGTCAACAATTTCTGTGAATAGTAGCAAAATTAGAACTCAATTATAATTATTTACAATGGGAAAGAAGTGCATTCAATAAATACTAATTACTGAAATGTTTCTGTCAGCCCAGTTAGTTATGAGATTTTACCAAACAAAATTTTACTGGAAGTGTTGATCACTTTAAATATAGCCAGATAACCTTCAGACAGTGGGAGATTGCAAGACGAATGTGAAAGTACCAAGGGTAAGGAGGACCCCTTGTAGAAAAGTTCAGTGAACCTCTAATGATGAGATCAATCTTAGGAACATTTTAATAGTAATTTCAATGATATGTGGATGGCCTTGTTCTGTGAGAGGAAATTAGAAATGTCATTGTGAAAAACTTCGTTACTTAATCAGTGCTTAATTGCTTTTATAAATTAATGTGTGGACTGCTGTATTTTTAATAAGCCATTTATTTACATTTAGGAATGGCATGTCAGTTTTGAGCCAACCTCACAAAGAAATAATTTTTAGAGAGCACAGATGAATCCCAGGCTATGTTCATTCCTGTAGGGTAGCCTTTGTTTATAAACCCCCCCCCCCCAAGGCTAGATACTGTTATTTAGGATTCTCAATCTTCATGGGTTTCTTTTTTAAGACTGTAAAGGGGAGTGATTAGGAAGGCAGTGTGTAAAAGCACAAATAAATATCCCATATACCCTTTACTTCACAGTACCCTTTCCCTTTTCACTGGGAGGACGGACTACTGAATCTCTAGTGGGAGGGAGTTCCATGACCTGGGCACTGCCAAGGATAAGGCCCTATCTTGCATCATTGATACATCTGTTGACAGAACCACATTAAGGACCTACCCTGCAGACTACAGTGTCTGACTAGGCAGATACAGGAAGAGGCAGTATTTCCAGCATTTGGGCTCTAAACTGTTTAGGGTTTTACATGCTAACATTAACACCTTGAGTTGGACCTGGTAGCAAATGGGAATTTAGTGCAATTCCAGAAGGATAGGTATAATAATAATAATAATAATACCTTTATTGTCAATGTTCAACCTGTGTACAATGAAATTAACCGAGCCTCCCCCGCCCCCCTAACACTCAATCCCATTGTACTCTTGTGTGCTTGTCGCACAACACACCAACCCCGAAAGTCAGTTGCACTATAAAAAGGTAAAGGTACCCCTGCCCGTACGGGCCAGTCTTGCCAGACTCTAGGGTTGTGCGTTCATCTCACTCTATAGGCCGGGAGCCAGCGCTGTCCGCAGACACTTCCGGGTCACGTGGCCAGTTGCACTATATTATTTTCTATTTAGCAGCCTAACAGCCCACAGATAAAAAAAATTCCTTCCAGTAGCACCTTAAAAACCAACTAAGTTAGTTCTTGGTATGAGCTTTCGTGTGCATGCACACTTCTTCAGATACAAACTGGAACTGGAACTATGGAAGGCACCACATTGAGCCGCATGAAATGGAAGTCCATTGTATCTGAAGAAGTGTGCATGCACACGAAAGCTCATACCAAGAACTAACTTAGTTGGTCTTTAAGGTGCTACTGGAAGGATTTTTTTTTGTTTTGACTATGGCAGACCAACACGGCTACCTATCTGTAACTGAGCCCACAGATAGAAACTGTTTATTAGCCTGTTGGTATGACTGATTATACTTCTATATCTCCTGCCCGAGGGTAGAAGATTAAAGAGGTGCTGGCCGGGGTGTGAATCGTCCCTGAGAATTTTTCTCGCTCTCTTAAGGCAACGATCCCTTGCGATGTCATCTAGCGGGCTCAGGGGACAGCCCATGGTATCATGTGCTGCGTTCACCCCCCTCTGTAAAGACTTTCTCTCCGTGGTTGTCAAGCCAACGTACCACACTGTGATACAATATGAGAGGACATTTTCTATTGTGGACCGGTAGAAGGAGGTCATCAATTGTTGTTTAACATTGTTCTTTCGCAAGACCCTGAGGAAATGGAGTCTCTGTTGGGCCTTCCTAACCACCTGAGTTATATTGTTTTTCCAAGTGAGGGCTTCACTAAGATAAACTCCCAGGAATTTACAGGAAGAGACTCTCTCCACACAACCCCCCCCCCCGATATACAACGGGGCTAGTTCCCCTCTGTTCCTCTGAAAGTCTAATATGATAGTGTTCTGCTGCAACTTCCAGACTGTCTTCAATGCTAGCCCCATGTAGATTGCATTACAGTAGTCAAATCTAGAGTTCAACAGAGCATGGACCACTGCAGCAAAGCTGTTGCAATCTAGGAAGGCACATCAACTTAAACTGGAGATAGGCATTCCTAGAACTGAGATTATTTGGGCCTCAAGCAACAAAAGTGGTGTAGTCTTTGATTCTGCTCCTACAGGGGATAGTGGCTTCATCCAGAACAGACTTACTCCCCACCTGCCCACAACAGCACCTTTGTCTTGTCAGAAAATATATAGAACCTAAAAACACCCAAGGCAGCCTTGACCAGGTTTCCCAAAGATATGGTTTGTAGTTCAGCAATACAGAGACTGTATTTTCCTGTTCTGTTGCTCTTTGGTCCCGATACTGGCTTGGTTGCTTTGTATCTGAATGTAAATCACTTTGCTATGGCCATCTGTGACCTTTTCTATTTTCCAGTTAAGTCTCCACTTTCAAGTTTATCGTGTAAAAGTCCTTGAGTGAATAGGTACTAACATTTGTATGGTTTCCCTCTCGTATGGTTGGACATCTCTGAAGGTAACTTCCCAACCATTGCTTCCCCTTAAAAGTTTCTGTTCTGACTGCAATGCTACCAGTGCAAAGCCCCCACAAAAAGAGACCAATCACTTCCTATTGACTGTACCTACCTACCTACCCACAACTAAGTCCCATTGATGTTCGTGCTTAGGAGTTCACCCTGTGTGTAATAAGATTTGTGAACTTTAGTCTGTTTGTTTTTATAACATTTGTTCTGCTCTGAAGGTATAGAGAAATGATGCATTCTCTGAAGAATGTTATGATGGTTGTAGTTGAATCTTTAATTAACAAGTTTGAAGAAGATCAGATGCGCTATAAGGAAATTCAGAGGAAGGTGAAAACAGAACAGCACAGCAGTTACTATACAGATAATTGCTCTGATAGTGATTCTTCATTTAATCAGGTATGGTCAAGTCTATGTAATAATCTTGCTGGGCCGCCATCTTTTATGTTGTTGTAACAACAAGGGTGTAAGGGGAAGGCAGGGGTGTGGTAAGGAATGGAAGAGTGACTAGCTGGCCATAGTTGCCATTCTATCCTCCCCTGGGCTGGGCCTTACTTCCCTGCTGCCATAGAGCTATGCCACCAAAATAGCTGTCATATCTAAATACACTCCCATTAGAGTTAATGGAGAGCCCTAGTTGGTTTCTATGATTTCATCTTCATGTTCCTCCTCTTGTTTGTTGCTGATGAAATCAATGAGAAATTCTTTTCTCTGACTTACACTGCCAGACTTGAGGCTATATTTTCTTTAAATTGTTACTGCAAAATCAATAGATAAAATCCATTCCATTTAGATCGAGGGCTGGAAGCCTATTGGTTTTTATGGGGTTGTATTATCTCCACTGAAAGTTAGAATACCTCATCTGAGATCATGCATAGAATTCTCACAGCGTTAAGATTTCCCATCAACCTCAGTGCAGTTCTACACATCTCCACTGTGTGTACAGGGTACCCACAATATTGAAGTCAGTTTAAGTTGTTGTTGGCATCTCTGTGTCTCGAGACACAATGGAGTGCTCCTCCAGGGGTGTAGCCAAACTGCTGTGTTAGCAGCACTGAAGTGACCTCCTGGAGGTGCAAGCCTGGGCAGTGTGTATGGAGGTCCTGGGCTGCTCAGATGACAAGATCCCCACTCTTGGCCTTGCTATTATGGCCCACCAGAAAGCAGAGCTATACATTTGACACCAGATTGGCTGCAGGAGTTGCTGGAAGGAGGCATACAACCGCCTTAGGAATGTCTGCATAGCTTCCTGACGCACTAATTCCAACCGCCTTAGGGCTCAATACGCATGGAATAATTCACTAATTCCATCGGCTATCTTCACTTGGTTTAGCTGGCCAGCTGTCACATTCTGACAGCTTCTAGGAGCCACAAGGAGCCACAAGTTAGAGCTGAGTGCAGGGTGGGAACCAAAGGTGTACATGCACCCCATACAATTTAAGTACTAAGTCTAATTACCGTGACCCGGAAGTGTCTGCGGACAGCGCTGGCTCCCGGCCTATAGAGTGAGATGAGCGCACAACCCTAGAGTCTGGCAAGACTGGCCCGTACAGGCAGGGGTACCTTTACCTTTACCTTTAAGTCTAATTACAGTACTTTACTTCCTAGATAAAAGTTAATTAATATTCAAAATGTTTACTATGTACTTAAACCTTCTCAATGATTCCTCCATTGCAGGGGTTAGACTAGATGATCCTAGGTTCCCTTCTAACTCTACAGTTCTATGATTCTGTGATTTTTTTTACTGGGAGCAGCACTATAAAGTTTAGGTCTTTCCAAAATGCCTTACCTTTATTTCTACAAAATGTTATGGTTGGTAAACCATGTATCACATGTTGTATAATTAAAAATAGAAAGGATATTAAAAATAGAAAGGTAACATTTTTTCCTTATATTTGATAATTAACAATACCCCCCTTAATATTTCATTAAGATAATGTGAATCCCATAAAGATAATTTTTATTTCACTAATAATAGCTAATTATTATAGTTATTAATCTTTTTAATTTAATGAGTTACTTAATGAGCATTTTGCAATGTGTTACAGAGTTATACATTCATGAATCAAGAACAATTGCAACTACTGGTAGAAAGGCTTGATCCGGTACAACCTAAGGAGGTGAGTCTAAAAGGCAAATGGACACACCCACTTAGACAATACTTTTTATTTTAGCACATCCTAAGCTCACATTGCTTGATTGAACTTGGATAGTCTCATTTGGAGGGGGCATGATTTGTTATTAGTTCTTTATACGCATATGGGCTTGAGACTTAGGAAGAGGAAGGTGAGATCTAGACTCTAAGGAAAGCAGAAGTATGGAGGCATTGTGCAGGAGAGCTAAAGGTGGACAACATATAGAGGAGGGTAGACTATTCTATGGTCCACTGGTTGCCCCCCCACACCATTGCACCAGAAGTGGTTTAGTCATCCTGGCCACATGACCCAGAAAGCTGTCTGTGGACAAACACCAGCTCCCTCGGCCAGAAAGCGAGATGAACACCGCACCCCATAGTCGCTTTTGACTGGGCTTAACCATCCAGGGGTCCTTTACCTTACCGTGTGTGTGTGTGTGTGTGTGTGTGCACGCGCGGGTCATCACATTGGTTGAAGATTTCTGTTTTGATATGATAATACTCTGTGATTTTTTACACCCATATCTTACCTTGATGTTGCAGGTGCGTCAGGAAGCTATGCAGACATTGTGTTCTGCTCCTCCGTCTGATATATTAAACTGTGAGAGTTGGGCTAATTTACGTAAACATCTTGCAACAGCACTTTCAGATCCGGATTCCAGTTTCAGTGTAAGGAAATTATTTTTTACCATTCCTAATGTATCGCTTGATCATAATTTATATAGTGTTCAAAATCAAAGCACATGCACGTACCTCTCAGAAATTCCATGTAGAAAAGTGACTATTGGGATTTTAAATGAAGCAGGTCAAGTACCGTAATTTTCGCTCCATAACACGCACTTTTTTGCTCCTAGAAAGTAAGGGAAAATGCCTGTGCGTGTTACGGAGCGAATGCACTGGATCGGAGCCGTGGCTGCCGTCAGTCAAGCAAAGCGGGAGCCGCTTGCAGGGCTTTGCACGGCTCTAGCTTTGCTTCCTTAAAAGCCAGGAGGAGGGGCTCCTTTGCTTGCTTTAAAGCTACCTACGAGGGAGGAGGAGGAGAGAGGGGGAGGAGGGAGGGAGGGAAGGAGAGCCATGGCAGCAAAGCGGGCAGCAGCCGCTTACACGGGAGGAGGGACAGACGGGACCATAGTGAGCCGGGAGAAGGCAGGCGCTTCAAAGCCAGCAGGCGCTTTTAAAGTAGCCAGCAACAGCTGCTGCAGCCTCAGCTAGCAAAGGTCTGCGTGCTCAGTGAGGCTGCAGAGGGACAGGAGGGCTTCGATCAGGAAGGATAAAATTTAAGCAACCAGCAGCAAAAAAAGCCAACCTGGAGCTCTGAGCCACGAGCGCAGTGAAAACCAGGAAGTAAAAAAAAAAAGGCTATCCCCCCCCCCCGCTTCTCAGCTGTTTTCAGGCAGGATAGATTTGAGCATTGTCTGGGTCCTAGTGCCCCTACCGTTTTTTGTGCTCCATTCTATTGCTGCTGGTGGCTGCTTATCATTCAGGCTGCAAGGAGGAGCGCTTTTACACAGCTAATGGCGAATCCTCTGCAATCCAAGTCCTCCTCACTTGCTCAAATCTATTCTGCCTCAAAACAAGGAGCAGAAGGAAAAGGCTGCAAACTGTTAAATGGAAAAAAAAACCCAGGCACAGGGCAAATACCTTAAGTATACCTTTAAAGCAACAGTGTTCTTTCCCTCCCCGCTCAGCTCACAGAAAAGCTCCTTCTCCACACCCCCCACGCGTGCTCCTTGTCCATTGAGTGCTTTTCCTTCCCTCCCCACTTAAAACGTGGTTACAAAGCACGGATCCACATGGATCCTCAGGATTTTTGCACTGGGTCACCCCAAACTCACCATCAGATCACATGTCTGTGGCCACAGCATGAACCACAAAAGTCATACATCTACTGTTTCGTTTAGAATATTTTTTTCCTTGTTTTCCTCCTCTAAAAACTACGTGCGTGTTATGGTCAGGTGCGTGTTATCGAGCGAAAAATACGGTATGTCTTTCTTTATAACTACTACTACTTCTTCCTTGAATAGCATGCATAAAATTCTGCATGCAGCATTTTAATTGTCCCTGTTGTATCGCAGTGATCGGGAAGCTTTTCTATTTGGTAGGCTGAATCCTGAGCTTCCCCACAAGCCATTTTGACAGGTGAACAGAGCTGTCAACCTGTCAGCCACTTCATACCATTACAATATCAGGTGGCAACTTCAGGCATGCACACTGTCAGTGCTGATGGGTGATCACAGTGTCGCTGCTTGCAAAAGAATAATTGCAAGCTCAGTTTAAGCTCCTGATTGTTCCTTTGTAAGTACTTCCTTACCTATCCCACACTTGTTGCCACATATGACATGGTTTGGGGAAAACAGCCTTACGGGCTACATTGAGAGCACTGCTGGGTTTCATTTGGCCTTTGGGCTATGTGGTGTTACACATTTTTTGAATGAATGTAAAATAACAATAAAAATAATTTACTATTATAATATTTATTTATTACTTATACCCCACCCATCTGGCTGGGTTTCCTCAGCCACTCTGGGCGGCTTCCAACAGGAGGTTAAAAATACATTAAGACATCAGTCATTAAAAACTTCCCTAAACAGGGCTACCTTAAGATGTCTTCTAAATGTTAAGATAGTTGTTTATTTCTTTGACATCTGATGGGAGGGTGTTCCACAGGGCAGGTGCCACTACTGAGAAGGCCCTCTGCATGGTTCCCTGTAACTTTGCTTCTTGCAGTGAGGGACCCGCCAGAAGGCCCTTGGTGCTAGACCTCAGTGTCCAGGCAGAACGATGGGGGTGGAGATGCTCCTTCAGGTAAACCCTGAAATAGAAAGCCTGCAGGACTATAGCAAACCTTCTGCCTTCCAATATAGTAATATATCAATAAGCTATCGTATTGCTTGATACACTGGTGGTGTGTTCTTTCATCAAGGCAACTCCAGATATTGAGGTAGAGGTCCTGTAGGTACATTTTGGCATGGCCTCTATACAACATGTTTTGTGTATATAGCCTGTTGTTTGTGTGTTTATATATAGGCCCAAGTGCTTCAGCTGGCAGTCTATAGGGAGTTACGTTATTATAATATTTTTCAGCTTTTGCACAATACTCTATTTAGAATGAAAAGTCTACAGGTGCATCTGGTGTATGTTAGAGCTACAGAAGCCAGTGTGGTATAGTGGTTAGTTTCAGGGTAGGACTATAGAGACCCAGATTTAAATCCCCATTCACTCATGAAGTTCACTAGGTAATTTTGGGCTGCTGATCATCTCTCAGCATAAACTACCTCACAGGGTTGTTGTGAGGCGGAAAGACAACAGTTCGAAATGCCTTCGAAGAATGCTGGGTAAAAATTGGAATGAAATAAATTAACAAGTCAGATGTTCTTTATAACATTGCTGCTGATGAAGAACATTGAAATTCTGCTTAGATTTTATGAACTAGCTTTCATTTTTACTGTTTCAGGACAAAGTTTTGAAATTCTATGCCAAGACATTTTCTTCCTCTCCGCTAAATATGACAAGGGAACTGTATACAAGTTTGGGTAAGTTCATTAAGTCAAATGGAGAAATGTTACTTGCTTTCTGTAGCCAGCAACCATTTTTAAAATTTGCCTCTTAAATTATTTGGCAATTATTTATCTCTTTACAGCAAAGTATTTAGAGATGTACTTCCTTTCTGAAGATAGTTATGTTCCTACCATATCAATAGGTATTGATATAAGCAACCCAGATATAATCCGTTTACTTAAAAAGGTATAAATCAGTTTTCCCATATTTCTTTTTCAAATTTAGTTATTTTCCCCATCCAGTCTTTAAAAAAAGCAAACAAGCTGTTTTTCTTTCATTCATAGATACGTCTGCTAAATGAGTACCAGAGGGAAGTACCATCTTTCTGGATTCGTCATCCAGAAAAGTATGTCACAATTATCCAATTGCTTCCTTAGTTTTCATTTGCCTGTTGCAATTTCTTTGTGCTAAATTACTAAAATCAGTGATTTATTAAACATGAAATTACTACTGCTACTCATCTGTCTTTCAATAGTGAAGTTTCTTGGTTTCATTGCTTGCTGTCAAAAGTAAATCTGTGTCTATGAGGACAAAGTTCCTTGACTTAAAACTCCCCAAACCAACTATTCTCTTTGTGCTATTTAATCTATGCCAGTTACTGGTTTCCTGATTTGGATTCTACAGGTGACACTTCTGTTTCCTGTTTGGTGATTTAGGATCACAATCACTTTTCCCTTTCAACTGGTCTTCACAATATTTAAGCATGGAGAATGGTGTTCTGCACACTCTAAATTATTATTGCAGTTTAACTCCAAAATGTATTCACAGTACCCCAGTAAACATACTCACAATATTGCTCATTGTAACTTTCTTAATCTCCTTTTGAAGGTGACTTTCTTTTGGTGTATACAAAAAAAAAAGTACATACAATTTCTTGGCTTTAAAAAATCGTATTCACAGTAAAGTTGAAAATATTAAAATGCATCTGATTTCTTTCCCTTTTCAAATTCCTTTTTTGAATGATGGAGAGTCTAAATACAAATGGCATCAGTATGAACATTGGGATTTTATTTAACAGCTCGTTCTTTATAACATATTTAGGTACATGGAAGAAATAATGGAGAGTACCCTGTCACTTCTGTCAGCAAAGCGTGAGTCAAGCCACCCTGTTTCTTTGGATCCCGTGTACTTCTTGGCTCTAGTCGATCTCAAGGCTGTTTGGTTTAAAAAATGGATGGTAAGCAAATGTATGTATTTTGCTGATTGCAGCTTCTTCTGTTAGTCCTTCAAGGTTATTGCTTTGTTGATAATGCCTTGAGCTAATAATCCTCTTAGTCCTTTTCTTCAAGAGGTTGATATTGAATGTGTCAGTGTAATGCAATAGATGAGATAAGTTGCAATTTCTGAGGAATTGCTCGGAAGGTTGCAGGTTTCTCCTTCATCTGGCTTATTGGGAATGGTATGGGCTCACCAGGGTAGAATGCAACCCACAGTAATATTTCAAACTAAACCAAGTTAAGAACATGGCAGGAGGAGGTCTACTTGTATTTTAAAAACCCCAAAAAACTCGCACTGCAGGAATACTATAGCACTCTGCTAGCACATGATGGATTTAACACTAAATCCCACCATAAGCAAATTAATTGCATGATCCCTACAGTGGAAATGCATCTTGGAGGCATGGTGTCTGGACTGTGCTTAAGAAATAGATGACTTAATCTATTACACATGTGGAATGTCCCCTTGTTTTAGAATGCTGTAGAGCAGGGGTCAGCAAACTTTTTCAGCAGGGGCCAGGTCCACTGTCCCTCAGACTTTGTGGGGGGCCGGACTATATTTTGGGGGAAAAACAACAACAAATTCCTATGCCCCGCAAATAACCCAGAGATGCATTTTAAATAAAAGGACACATTCTGCTCATGTAAAAACACCAGGCAGGCCCCACAAATAACCCAGAGATGCATTTTAAATAAAAGGACACATTCTACTCATGTAAAAACATGCTGATTCCCAGACCGTCCGTAGGCTGGATTTAGAAGGTGATTGGGCCGGATCTGGCCCCCAGGCCTTAGTTTGCCTACCCATGCTGTAGTGTGGATGGTGAACTGGGGGCTCTCCATATGTTGGACTGAAACTTCCACTACCCCTGACCATCGGCCATGCTGGCTGGGGCTAAAGAGAACTGAAATCCAGCAACATCCACCCCTGCTATAGAGTATGGGTAGAATTGTCCTTGGTGTCAACAGGCAGTAGTCAAAATGAAATTAAAATAGTGCTGTAGGTTTACAGACAATTTGAACTATGTTTTCCAGTAAATACAAAGCACTTATTTGCTTCTCTGCACACCTATCTCCAACCCAAGATATATTAACATGGACTAGGCGCTGTGGGTTAAACCACAGAGCCTAGGACTTGCAGATCAGAAGGTCGGCGGTTCGAATCCCCGCGACAGGGTGAGCTCCCGTTGCTCGGTCCCTGCTCCTGCCAATATAGCAGTTCGAAAGCACCAGCGGCGTAGCGTGGGTTGTCAGCACCCGGGGCAAGGCAAGTAATTTGCGCCCCCTAACCAGTGGATTTGCGCCCCCTAACCTGTGGATTTGCGCCCCCTAACCCGTGGATTTGCCCTAACCCCAGATGTTGCGCCCGGTGCGGCCGGCACCCCCTGCACCCCCCACGCTACGCCACTCGAAAGCACATCAAAGTGCAAGTAGATAAATAGGTACCGCTCTGGCGGGAAGGTAAACGGCGTTTCCGTGTGCTGCTCTGGTTCACCAGAAGCGGCTTAGTCCTGCTGGCCACATGACCCGGAAGCTGTACGCCGTCTCCCTCGGTCAATAAAGCGAGATGAGCACTGCAACCCCAGAGTCAGTCACCCCTAATGGTCACTTTACTTTTAACTTCAGAACTTACTGTGCAATTTTGATCTTGTAATCAGTTGAAAAATAATTGAATCATTTTTATTTTCTACTCAGTGCTTTAAGTGTAATGTATGTCTGTTTTGTCATTTTAGCATGCATATTATAGCAGAACAGTGGTGCTAAGGCTACTTGAAAAAAAATACAAATCTTTGGTAAGTCTGTTTTTTCATCAGTCAATATCCTTTCTCAATACAAGGAACAAAGTACATATCAATTACAACTGAACCAAGACATATCTTAAGATACTACATACTCCTTAATTGATTTTTGTTTATCAATATGGCCATTTAGGAAGTTCAGTTTTACATTCTAAATATGATGTTCTGCAGAGACTTTATAATTTACCCTACTGCCTGTATATACTTCTACCAACCCAAAATTAATGTGAAAAGGGTCAAATGCAAATTTGCTAATGATGTGAGTGAAGTGAATCTTTATTAATAGAGGGAATTGTGTAATAGGCATTTTCTGTGAATTTTGATATACTTTGTTGTTTTATTCGTCAGATTATTGCATCTGTTGAGCAGTGTGTTTCCTATCTTGAAACTTGTGAATCAGTGGTTGATAAAACAGGCAGGTTTAATTCTTCCTCTACATTGCATAATGGTAAGTAATTTTTCCATATGCTGAATAATATATATTTATTTGAAGTCTTCTTTTTTGCTTACATTTTAATAAAATATGTAGCAGTGTTCCAGTAGTGCTTTTTATGACAAATGTTCAGAATATGTTCTAGCTCAGAATTTCTAAATAACATTTCAACTGTGTGAGGCTTCCCTCCCACCTCGAAATGGAAAATCCAATTTTTATTGGTGGTTGCATTTTTTGTGATCTTGGCAGTTTTCTTTATAAATACATTATTGCCCATGATAGCAGTGATTGCTTGGACTCTAGTATACAAGAACGAAGCAAGAGACAGCACAGGTTTATTGACATGAACTGTCTTGTCTTTCAAGGTAATAAACAGAAGAATTTTTACACTGGAAAAGAATTGCAGTATATATATTTTGTTCATTCCCTGAGCCTCTTAGGAAGATTGTTGATATATAAACAAGGCAGAAGACTTTTTCCTATTCAGCTGAAAAACAGAAAAGGTAAGTGCGTGTTAAAGAACATAGAAGCATAGAAACATGACAGTGTGTTCTATTAGGGCCATTTTTCTAATGCTTTTTCAGCTTTGGTTCTGTTGTTTGTGGGAGAAGGCTTATAGGTAAAAAAGAGATTGTACAACAGGGTGTAAATTATGTGGCGTAAATTATGTAAGCAGGACAGTTATTGGAGTGCTTGGTGCATTATCCCATGCTGCTCTATATAGAAGGATCACACATAAATTCCTGTCTCACTATTTTTATCTGGATTTTTAAAAACCTATTTATAACAAAACTTTGTTGTTTTCTGTAACAGTGGTGAAGCTGAGATGTTTATCAAAACTAACATAGTGACTCGATTTGGGCATAATGCTAAACTATACCATGTGCATAGTGCAGTGTAAACAACCTTCGGTTCCTGCACTTTTATTCTCTTTCCTTCAACCCATCTTTCCTGAGGAGGATTCAAGGAAGCATGTGTTTTCTGTTTTCAAATAACTGGTGTTTATTGTTATGTCCAAACCTTGGGAGTGAAGGGAAGTTACCAGATCTGCTAGTATGCCAGTTCACAGATTTGTATGGACACATCTATTGCGTGTACCTGTGGAAAAATGGGGAAATTAGAATACTGCTTTTGAGTTCTTTGCTGGAGACAATGACAGGCACGCGAGACAGAATTGCATTTTATTGGAATACCTTGCTTCCTTTGGGGTAGTTATCATGGCTCAGTAATAGAACTGATATCAATGGAACTGGAACTCTGGTTAGTTTAAACTATAGGTAAAGGTACCCCTGCCCATACAGGCCAGTCGTGTCCGACTCTAGGGTTGTGCACCCATCTCACTTAAGAGGCTGGGGGCCAGCGCTGTCCGGAGACACTTCCGGGTCACGTGGCCAGCGTGACGAAGCTGCTCTGGCGAGCCAGCACCAGCGCAGCACACAGAAACGCCGTTTACCTCCCCGCTAGAAAGCGGTACCTATTTATCTACTTGCACTTCGGGGTGCTTTCGAACTGCTAGGTGGGCAGGAGCTGGGACCGAAAGACGGGAGCTCACCCCGCCGCGGGGATTCGAACCGCCGACCATACGATCGGCAAGTCCTAGGCACTGAGGTTTTACCCACAGCGCCACCCGCGTCCCTTAAACTATAGTTACTTTAAACTATAGTTAGTTGCAATAAGACAGCATCGAATCACAGTTTATGATTCTCCAAACATGGCATAGTTTAAATTAATCAGTTTCCCTAGGTGGGATGCAACAAAACTCTAGGTCGTTTAACCCGCAATTGTCTATTTTCCACCTCCTGCTGTTGTATTGGAAGAGGAGGGTGAGGACAAGCGCCTGGGGCTCGCTTGTACTTATTCATGCAGCGCTGACTTATGGTTTTTCCAAGGCAGGTTGGTTTATGGCTATGAAGAAGTACACATTATCATCTTACACAATTATCTAAATATTCTTCCATCTGTCCTCCTTGGCCTGTGGCTGTTACAAAAAAAGTTTGATTACATTATTTTCCAGGAGGGAAAACATGAACCCAACAGTTTATTTGACATTGCTGGAATAGCTCTACCAGTAATAAATTAAATTAAATGGTTTCTGTCTGTGAAACAGTTGGAAATGGAAGAAAAGCTACAGCAATTTAGCTTAAATTTGTATTCAGGTATTCGTTTGTTGTTCCTAATTAAATTATAAGTAACATGAAGTTATTTTCCCCATTCTCATTTTTGTAGATTTGATGTCCTTGACAGACCTTGTCGTAATGTTTACTCGTCTTATCTATTGCGCCCCAAATTGTCCAAAGACTCTTACAGTGCATTCAGGTAACATTGCCCTTTATATTTGCTCTGTTATTCTTTAATTTTCTTCTTTGTGAATAAAGGTTTGTTCACTTCCATATTTCTTAATCATTTCTGTGTCTATAGACACCATGACATCATATTTAAAGTGAAAACTGAGTGACTCTTCCCATCTGATGGGTATTTGAAGTGGTGGGCTTGGCAAGAGGGAAGAAATACCGCTTGTTTCTTTTCCTTTATCTGATTGTGTTGCTCACTCTGTTGTTCTTTACTATTTTGAAACAAGTCTCTTTTTATTTGTCAGGCAATTATTCTCCAGCAGGCCTTATTACTGATGTGCTTGGAATTCTTTGTGAGAGAAAAGAATGTGCAACTGAATGTCTATATACTAATACAGTGATAGAAGCACTTCTTCAGCCAATACATTATTTACTGAATGGAACAGAGGTTGGTTGTATTTCCTTCAAATAAACATGAATAAAACTTAATGTAGAAAAATGTAATGGCTGTGATCCATTTAATTGTCAGGCACAATGTGGTCTTGCATATAACTAGTGAATGGAGATGTGCATTGCAAAATAGTGAGAATTGCATTGGGGACATTGTGTCTATGTATCTGTTTCAATACAGCTGTGCACACCACAGTGAAATAAAACATATTGTTGACTGGGCTAAGCTGTAATGAATTACAAGAGCCAAAGTTAAAAATGGAGCTTGGGATTTGTGGGGAAAGGAGACAGGGAAGATTATGAAGAAAGCTGCATTTGATGTAAGTCAAGGGCAGCTAACCTATAACCCTCCAGTTGTTGGATTCCAACTTCCATCATAAGGGATGTTGAGAATTATAGTCTATTGACATCTGGAGAGTCATAGGTTTCCATCCTTGTTTCAGTAAGAGAAGGAATGTGGAATTGGCATGCTAGTCTATTTTGGAAGTTAGCCCCATCTGTTTCTATTTTATATTTGAAATAAATGTTAATTCATTTTGAAAGGACTTTGGATTCTTCTGTTCTTCTTTGTCAGTTAACATTTAGATTTATCCTCACAGCTACTTTTAGCTAAATACAAATCAGCAGTATCATTTACAACTGCATTGTTTTTTTTAAAAAAATCAAAGCTCCATTGACATAAGCTGGATTATAATGTAAGAATTCCTCAGTCTTGTTACATTAATTTGCCTTTAGTTACACAAGGTTTGTAGACAAAAGTCTCTATAAAACATTAATCTTCAGAGTTTTTAAAATGTTTGTGCAGGTGCATCTAAATTCTCCTGAAACAACTCTAATACATATAGCCGATATTTTGGCAAGGATTGCTGCTGCAGATGATGGTCTTTCACTCCTACTCTATGGAGGAGAGAAGCCCTCTGCCATGGAGGGTGGTAGGTAAGAGAATGTGTTTTAAAAGAACAAAAACAGTGTTGTGAAATAAGTTCTTTTATCTCATATCTAATTAGTTGTATATAAGTCTTGAGAGAAGCTTCCATGATTTGAATTATAAAATGAACAGCTTGCATGTTTTGTTGTTTATGCAAATGTACCTAAGGAGATAGCTCCCACACCTGTAGAAAACAGTCTGCATGCAATACCTGCATGCAGTACACTGTAATTTTCATGTTATTTCTCATTAGTCATGCTTTTGTTTCTTGGCTTAAAGTATTACTGCATTTGGTTGTAATGATAAACTATGATTTCTTGTTACGTCAACAAACCTCAGGCTTGTGTACTCTCACCTACCTTCTCTCCATAAGAGGATATCAGAAGGTTTCATTTCTGTTTTAAACTAACCGCAATTAAACATTGTGTCTGAACCCAGACAAATGTAGAATTAACTAATGTTTACTGTTTACTGAATTCAGTGACAAACCTTGGATTAATGAGGTTGGCTTATTCTTAACTACAGTTTATGATTTGGATGTATCATAAACTGTGGTTAATCAGCAATCAAAGTGGAATGCTTCCATCTCCAGAACATTCTGGAGAAGGTGGCATGTAAGAGGAAATAGTTAAAGGAACATATTCCCAATTAAATTGAAGATGTGTTTCTGCTATCCTGGGAAATGTGGAGATATGAAAATTGTGTGCTTCTCAGAATACATCACCCTGAGCCAGGTTGCTCTGTCTTAGAAATGAACACAAACATTTCTAAATAGTTGAGATCATATCTATTTAGCACCTGGTATCATTGATTATGTCCTGTGGGTTGATATAAATCATATGTAAAACTAATGGAGTTCTTAAAATAAAAAAAAGAATGTAAAAAGGAAAAACTTGCAAATGCAATATCACTTTCCTAACAAAGAGCAGCTATGGCAAAGGGACAGATCTGCATTATGACCACAATCCAAATGAATTGGGTGGGAAGGTGGTGGTGCAGGGAGTTATACAGCATCTTCCAACACTATGGTTTCAATATGGATTGGGTCTTGCTGTTGCTTATTTGTTAAGAAACAGTCATGCCAAGTCCTAAGCATGCTGCTCAAAAACATGGTGGATGTGTTAGCTTCACTAAGAATAAAGCAGTTTTATAGGTGATCTCTGTGGAAGGGGGAGAGAAGCCTTCCTACTTTGTTTTGCTCATTTTTGTTCCCATCTTACATGGGAAGATGATAGGCAGTAAGTCTTTCTTTAGGCCAAGTCTCAGCATATTGTATAAGCAGAAGAAGGATTAACATTTCAATTACTAACTGAAAAGCTTTATTTCATCATAATACTGCCAAATCAATAAAACATTGTTTTTTGAAATGTTTCATTCTTTGTAGCCTTAGGGGTGCACATACTATCGTTCAGTTTACAAAGAAGCTTCTTGATGAAGACATTTCTGTTCTTTCTGGGTCTGAGATGTTGCCAGTGCTCAAAGGTGCTTTCATCTTTGTATGCCACCAGATGTATAGTACTTGCGAAGGCTTAGAGGTGTTGCTACCTTACCATTTACATGGATCTATTTCTGAGGCTTGGAAAAAGGTAGTCCTATCCTTGTTTATACAAAGTATATGTATAGAAGTTATGCAAAGGATGTTTATGTTTGCTTGTGTGTGCATCTGTTCCCAAAGGGTACTTTTTATGCTGAAAATGTAATGTAGTACAGATTTTATCATGGAAGTGGCACCTTAACATTATAATATCCCAAAGATGATTATTAGTTTTCCCCTCTTTGTAACAAGTGTAGCAAAGAGGGAGGGGGAGTAGCAATTTCTCTTGGATCCCAACAGTGTGCATGTGTACAGTGGGTACCTCATGTTACAGACACTTCAGGTTATAGACGCTTCAGGTTACAGACTCCGCTAACCCAGAAATAGTACCTCGGGTTAAGAACTTTGCTTCAGGATGAGAACAGAAATCGTGCAGTGGTAGCGGGAGGCCCCATTAGCTAAAGTTGTACCTCAGGTTAAGAACAGTTTCAAGTTAAGAACGGACCTCCAGAACGAATTAAGTTCTTAACCCGAGGTACTGCTGTAGTTTAAAAATAGGCAGGTCTTGTCCTCTCAGGCTGTGGAAAATATTGCCAGTATAGTATACAGATGTGTACATTCTAATTTATATTATATGTGAAATAGGCTTGAATAGATGTTGGGAGCTTGAAATATTTTTTAAAGTTGGCAAGTAGATCTGTTTGTTAATCTTCATTAGTCATGAAAAGTCCAGTGCTGCATTTCTTGCATGCATTGCTTTTGGTTCCAAGAGTTACATTAGAAACATTCACCAAGTAAACTTCGTGATGCCCATAAGTTGGTCAGTGCCCAGCGCCCCACTATCACACGGGTGGTTGCGTGTGCAGCTGCTGCTTCTCACCTTGCACATTTGCAAGCTAGTTTATCTGGTGGTATCAGGATTATTATAGGTTATTAATGTAAGTGGTGAAGGATCCAAGCATCCATTTGGCTCTCTGGTGCATTGCAGTGTTGCTGCAATTGGGTAAAACCCACTTGGAACAGGTAGCGGGCAGGTTCTTTAAGAGGCATATCTGGCGGTGGCGCTATAATGGTCTAGGAACTAGGCACCCACCATCACCCCTGCACACAAGTGGTTTATCAGACAGCAGAACAGCATGTCCATTACCACACCCATTGCAGGAACCCCACCAACATTGGCCAAGCAGGGTTGACTGATGACTGCAGTAATGTCACTGCTGGGATCAAAATGGTGGTAGGCACTCGAGACAGGCCCTCCGACAATCTGCAGATATGTCTGCCCTTAAGATGTCTCTGATGCTTAATCAAATATCCTTATCGTACTATGTTGTTAGCGATCATAATTAGATTTGCTACTGTTGCTAACAGTAAATTTATGTGATTTGCTTTTCATTTCTGACAGACTAGTTTGCTTTCGGAGAGAATTCCAACGCCTGTCGCGGGGGCAGATTGTGTATCATCAGCAAGTCAAGAATCACAGAGCTTGTAAGTACTAGTTTGGGTTACCTGCTCAGAGATACATGAGAAAAGTCCTCAAAGCTGCAACATGGGGATTAGGTAACATTTAAAAATGGGAAATCTTTCTGATAAAGCTGTATTGCTGTTACCAGGCAGAGGCAACAGCAAAGTTCTGCATGGGAATATAAAATACAGTTTAGTGGCTCGCACAGCCTCTTGCTTCCCTTTCGCTTTGCTTGCTCTGTCTTCCTCACTCCCTATTGTTTCTCCATTTCTCCTCTTTGATTTCTGTTTCCTTTGTCACTTGTCCTGCAGTTTCCCCATTTCCATCCCTCCCCTCTCATTTGCTTTTCAGCTGTCCAGTATGTTGTCACTTCTGCCTTCATCAGCCCTCCGTATTTTAGTCTTTCTCTTCCTGTCAGCTACATCTGCTTCCTCTTTTTCATCTGCCCCCATCCCTGTTCTGTTTACTAACGTTATTGTTGCTTTTCTTGCTCCTTTGTTTCGATTCTTAACACATTCAGAAGGAATCTTCACAGTGGATTTTGACATCTGTTGTGCAAGCCTCACTTGGAAAAGGACCTGGGTGAGGCAGGCATATGGTACATGAGATGCAGTTTCAGTGGTTGGGGTGCAAATATGTCCACTTTTAGGGGGCCCCCATTTTTTCTACTTCTGCATAGCATGTAGTTCTCCTGAATATGAACATCTTTCCTCTTCTTTGGGTGTGTGTAGCTATCAGCTTTCACCGCTGAATGTTACTAATTATAGAGATAATTATTATTTATGTGGTTTCTGCGTTTTCAGAACTTGTGAATTTCACGAGTCAATACAGTGCTTCATACTTTTATTTTCAATCATCAGTTCCCCAAGTCTATATTCCTAGAAATGGGAATATGGCATATTATTTTTTCATAATGATGACATGTAACATGCAAATTGAAACAGGCTATAAATTTTGTTTAGCTTTTATAAGCTGTCATTTTTCCATGCAAGATGTATGGCCAAGGCAATGAAGACATCACAGTTTATGGGTATATATTAATTACGATTGGTTTAAATCATTTTCAACAGGCATTTTTCTTTTTTGTAATGTCAGCATCACTGACTATTTATAAAATGAAGTGAGTTATTTTACTGTCAGACTATAAGACAGCAATCACTTTATTTTTAAAAATATGTTGCTTACAATGATAATTCCATAGAAGAAAAATCTAGCAGCATATAAATGCATTTTTAAAAGTAAGCACTGTATAATATAAAAGCACGTTTAATAGCTTTTGAAGCGGTATTTTTAAAGTTTTGATTAAAATGTAATTGATATATCAGCTTTCATGTGACAATTTAATACCTAAACATGCCTAAAAACATACAGTCATGGGAAAAAGAAAGTGACCTCTTTGAAATTCTGTGGCTTTACATATGAAGACATAATAGCAATCATCTGTTCCTTAGCAGGACTTAAAATTATGTAAATGCAACTCAGATGAACAATAGCAAATGGCATATGACACTGTGTCATGATTTATTTAACAGAAATAAAACGAAAATGGAAAAAGCTATGTGTGAAAAACTAAGTACACCTTATGATTCAGTTGTTTGTAGAACCACCTTTAGCAGCAATAACTTGAAAGTAATCATTTTCTGTAGGACTTAATCAGTCTCTCGCATCGTTGTGGAAGAATTTTGGCCCACTCTTCTCTACAACGTTGCTTCAGTTCATTGAGGTTTGCTGGCATTGTTGATTGCACAGCTCTCTTAAGGTCCCACACAGCATTTCAATTGTATTGAGGCCTGGACTTTGACTGGGCCATTGATTCTATTCTTTTTCAGCCATTCTGTTTGTAGATTTGCTGGTGTGCTTGGAATCCTTGTCCTGTTGCATGACCCAATTCAACCAAGCTTCAGGCTGTCAGGCAGATGGCCTCACATTTGACTGTAGAATACTTTAGTATACAGAGGAGTTCATAGTTGACTCAATAGCCACAAGTTTCCCAAAGTCCTGTTAGCTGCAAATTAAGCCCAAATCATCACCCTTCCCAATATCGTGCTTGACAGTTGGTGTGAGGTGCTTGTTGCTGTGTTTGGTTTTTGCTAAACATGGCGCTGTGCATTATGGCAAAACATCTCCACTTTGCTCTTGTCTGTCCAAAGGACATTGTTCCTGAAATCTTGTGGTTTGTTAAGATGCAACTGAACTAATCTGTTCTGCCATGTTCTTTTTAGAGGGAAGAGACTTTTCCTGGCAACCCTTCCCAGCAAACCATACTTGTTTCGTCTTTTTCTAATTGTACTGTCATGAACTTCAACATTTAACATGCTAGCTGAGGCCTGTAGGGCCTGAGATGTAATTCTTGGGGTTTTTGCAATTTGACACTACAAGGTCTGATCTTGGGGTGAATTTGCTAAGACATCTACTCCTGGGAAGATTGCACCTGTCTGAATGTTATGTTTCCACTTTTGAATAATCTTCTCACTGTAGAATGATGGACTTAAAATTGGTTGGAGTGGCCTTAGAACCCTTCCCAGTTTCATGGGCAGCAGCACTTCTTCTCTAAGCACTTGCTTCTCTAAGAGCACTGTGCCATATTTCCTCCTTGGCCATTGTGTTAAAACACACCTGAATGCTCCAGACCAGAAAGCTGCTAAAACTTTGGCTTTTATAGAGGTGGGGCACACTTACTGATGATCAGTTAAGCAAACACATTTGATTTAGCAGCATCTGTCTGCTACTTGGCCTCTTAATTCCTATGGAGGCAGTAATGGGTGTACTTAGTTTTTCACACATTTTTCTCTATTTGGCTTTATTTCCGTTACATAAATCTTGACATGGTTGTAATATGTCATGTGTTATTGTTCCTCTGAGGTTGTATTTACCTAATTTAAGACCTGCCTAAGGAACAGATGATTGGGAACAGGAAACGTGGGTGGCGCTGTGGGTTAAACCACAGAGTCAAGGGCTTGCCGATCAGAAGGTTGGTGGTTCAAACCCCCTTGACGGGGTGAGCTCCCGTTGCTTGGTCCCCGCTCTTGCCAACCTAGCAGTTCGAAAGAACATCAAAGTACAAGTAGATAAATAGGTACTGCTCCAAGCGAGAAGGTAAATGGCCATTTCTGTGCGCTGCTCTGGTTCCCCAGAAGCGGCTTAGTCATGCTCGGCACATTGTCCCGGAAGCTGTACGCCAGCTCCCTCGGCCAATGAAGCGAGATGAGCACTGCAACCCTGGAGTTGTCCGCGAATGGACCTAATGGTCAGGGATCCCTTTACCTTAAGGAACAGATGATTGTTGTTTATGTCTTCATATGTAAAACCACAGAATTCAAAGAGGGTCACATTCTTTTCCCATGACTGTACTAATATATAAGAAATTTGTGGTACATTAGTAGCCTCAAAATGTGTGTGTGTCTCCACTGAATATAGGTAGCTTTGGATACCTATATCAATATTAGAGATACTCAATAGTTCAGATTTCAGTTTCTATAAGAGTTTTTCCCCAGTGAAGAATTCAGTTTTAGAGATGGGTATTCCTAGGCGGGTCTCTGTATGCTCTCTTCTCATTGGATGATTCTGTTGCTCTAGTGTTTTCTTCTTTCCAGTCCTTTCAGAGTGGTGAACAAAGTTTGGGTTAATAGTAGATCCCTTGCTGGTGCAATGCTTGTTTGCTGCAAACTGGTTAGCCTACTAAAAACCAGCCTTGGGAACAGGCATTCTCATCCCACTCCAACACCGATCTCACCTGTTTCTCTCTCCTTGTCGCCCTTAATAACACTTTTCTGTTACATCTGTACAAATGCTAATCATGGGTAGTGTTAGCTAGACTTACCAGAATATCACATAGATTTGCTAAAAACTGTATTAAGAAGGAACCTGGTTAGCATTAACTAGGGTTAGTGTTGGAGCAGGTGTAATATTAGGACTGCCTTCTCCCACAGATTTTTTGTACGTCAGGATCATCTTCAGGTGCCCTTCTCAATGTACCCCCACAATTTCAGGTTAGGCATATGACTTCTATGATTTTACTGTTCCGTTCTTTCTGTTGCCTTGTATGTGATTTTTGTGTTTATTGTTTTACATGATTTGTAATACTGAAGGACGAGGTATGCATATTATGTAACTGGCCACGTTCAGATAATCGAACCACAGCTTAACGAGTGAAGATATTCACAAGCTTCATGTATCCACATGGTTGCTTCTTTGCAGAAGTAAACAACAAGCTGAGAAGCTGTAGTTAAACAGAGCTTCATTTTACATCAGAATCAGGAAGGTTGGTTAGTGGCTTCTAAAGAAGCCAGGGTTCTGAAAAGCAAGTGTAAGTAAGCTTTAGGTTTTGGCTCATTTGGAATCCATTAATTATTGAAAGTAATGGGAAGTAATGGAAGTTATGGTTGAGTATTGCTTCCTAGCTTGCTTCTATGTTTCACATGAAGGGGGAGCAAAGGGCCTGCCTGCAGGTTACTCAAGATTTGATCATCTGAATGTAGCAATAAATGATATTACAGTAGTGCCCCGCAAGACGAACGCCTCGCAAGACAAAAACTCGCTAGACGAAAGGTTTTTTCGTCCGCGATTTGCCTCGCAAGACGAATTCCCCTATGGGCTTGCTTCGCAAAACGAAGCTTGCCCCGGGGACAGCGGGTCTTCTCTTTTGAAGCAAGGGGCTGCGGGGAGATAGCGATCTCCCTGCAGCCCCTTGCTGCAAAAGACGTCCGGGGGAAGCGGGGAAGCGAAGCGCTTCGCTTCCCCGCTTCCCCCGGACCTCTTCTGAAGCAAGGGGCTGGGGGGAGATAGCGATCTCCCTGCAGCCCCTTGCTGCAAAAGACGTCCGGGGGAAGCGGGGAAGCGAAGTGCTTCGCTTCCCCGCTTCCCCGACCTCTTCTGAAGCAAGGGGCTGGGGGGAGATAGCGATCTCCCTGCAGCCCCTTGCTGCAAAAGACGTCGGGGGAAGCGGGGAAGCGAAGCGCTTCGCTTCCCCGCTTCCCCCGGACCTCTTCTGAAGCAAGGGGATGGGGGGAGATAGCGATCTCCCTGCAGCCCCTTGCTGCAAAAGACGTCGGGGGAAGCGGGGAAGCGAAGCGCTTCGCTTCCCCGCTTCCCCCGGACCTCTTCTGAAGCAAGGGGATGGGGGGAGATAGCGATCTCCCTGCAGCCCCTTGCTGCAAAAGACGTCGGGGGAAGCGGGGAAGCGAAGCGCTTCGCTTCCCCGCTTCCCCCGACCTCTTCTGAAGCAAGGGGCTGGGGGGAGATAGCAATCTCCCTGCAGCCCCTTGCTTCAGAAGAGGTCCGGGGGAAGCGGGAAGCGAAGCGCTTCGCTTCCCCGCTTCCCCCTGACGTCTTTTGCAGCTGTTCCGAAGTGGGGCGGGGGGGGGCGGGGTCACCTGCCCCAGCCGCCCCACTTCGGAAAGCTGTTCCGAAGCGGGGAGGGGGGGCGGGGACATCTGCCCCAGCCGCCCCACTTCGGAAAGCTGTTCCAGGAACAGCTCCATAGGAACCTCCATAGGCGCCGTCACCTCTCCAGCCAGGAGAGCGCGCGCGGGGCTAAACCAGCCCCCGCGACCCCTCTCCCAGCTGGAGAAGTGACGCACGCCTATGGCAGGAGCCTCCATAGGCGCCCGTCACCTCTCCAGCCGGGAGAGCGGCGCGCGGGGCTAAACCAGCCCCCGCGACCCTCTCCCAGCTGGAGAAGTGACGCGCGCACTATGGCAGGAGCCTCCATAGGCGCCCGTCACCTCTCCAGCCAGGAGAGCGCGCGCGGGGGCTAAACCAGCCCCCGCGACCCTCTCCCAGCTGGAGTTGTGACGCGCGCATATGGCAGGACCTCCATAGGCGCCCGTCACCTCTCCAGCCGGGAGAGCGCGCGCGGGGCTAAAGAACCATAGCCCGCGACCCTCTCCCAGCTGGAGAAGTGACGCGTGACTATGGCAGCAGCCTCTGAAGGATGCACCGAAGCCTGGCGTGGGGGGGGGGGCGGAGAGACCTTCTCCCCGCGCCAGCCTTCGGATGGCTGTCCTGAAGACTTGGGTGGGAGAAGGGTTTTCCTTCCCACCGGCCAACATTCAGAATGCTGTTCTGAATGTTGGCGGTGGGGAGGAAAAACCCTCCTCCCACGCAAGCCCTCGGGAACAGAGGGAAAGCGCTGCGCGCCTTCCCTCTGTTCCCGTACCTGTGCTGAAGGCTTGCGGTGGGGAGAAAGCCCTTCTCCGCACCGCCAGCCTGGCAAGCGGTTTTCCCTAGGAACGCCATTAATTGATTTTCAATGCATTCCTATGGGAAACCGTGCTTCGCAAGACGAAAAATTCGCTAGACGACAAAAATTGCGGAACGAATTAATTTCGTCTTGCGGGGCACCACTGTAAAATGTAATTAAGGCAAACAAGGAAGGCAAGGGGTTGGGAAGGGAGTTGGTATTCTTTCAGGCTGCCAAATTTGCAGACCTGAGTTTGTAGCAGGTTCACATTACATTGGCACTGGACCTTAGAATACCAATTATATGCATGCTTAGGAGTAAATTCTGTTGAACTCTCAGTAGGTAAGCATGCAATATACATGGAAAGCAACTTAAGAACTAGGGATTGGGTACCCGTGAGCACAGCTAGCACCATCCTATGGTCAGTAACAATAGGTGCAACTTGTGGATCCTTGCCTGCTGAGGGAAGAGTTTGCTTGTATGTGCAATTCACTGAGTTGGCATTATCACTATCAGTATATGGTGGAAGGGTATCATTGTTGGAGGGAAATGTGTCAGAAGAGTTAACAGACAAACCTATTAGATCCAAGAGAAGGGCTTTAGACCTTCAGGGGAGACAGCTGTCGCGTAGGTAGAACAAGCACAGATATACAGCTGCTTTCCTAAATGAATTAATTGCACCCAGATGGTGAATTGAGTAGTGTAAGCCAATATTGAATGGAACCATTTTTTCTAACAGAAATTATATACTGGTAGACCAGTCTATGTCTTTGCTATAACAAATGAGCTTTTTATGCAAATCATTACTAAAAGAATCCCTTTATTCATTGGAAGAGAGGTTACTTGGTGGTTGTTGTTGTTTGTTTGTGGGTACTTTAATTAGTTTTTATCTGTTTGCTTTTTTCCAGTATTGTACTGGAAGAGACGTTGTTGGATGACTTGCTAAATTTTGCAGCTACACCTAAAGGGCTTTTGCTGCTGCAGAAGACAGGAACAGTAAACGAGTGTGTGACTTTCATGTTCAACAGGTTCACAAAAAACCTCCAAGTAGGTATAATCATACACACACACACACACACACACACACATACATGAAACAATATTTTCATCACTTAGTCTGCCTGAGCAGTCTTTATTGCCTATGCCATAACCTTTCTCTGTTAAAGTGGTATAATAGCATCAGAATGTTAATTAGGTAATGCTAGTTAATGATACATTTGATTATGGAATTAATTGTTTGTTCCAAAACAAACAATATATAAAAAAGCACCATTATTCTTATCTTGTATAAGCCATGATCCTCCTGTATAGCTAAGGTGTTTGAGCCCTTGAAATTTATGGTTTGTTATAATTTGTTTGTGCTAGGTTTGTGGATTTGAAAAGTTTGGCTATGGAGCAATTGTATCGCAAGTAGCTGCAACAGCTGCAGGTGCTGTAGCTCTACAGAGTTCAGGTAACTTTTTGTATAGATTATCATGAATAAATCTTGGTAATTAAGGCTGCAATCCTAATCCCAATTCCCGGAGAGCAAGCACCACTGAATTCAGTAGGACTTAACTCCTATTGACATAGTTAGAATTGTGTCTATAGCTTTTGACTTTTGTCAGCAAGCATCAGAGCAAATAATTTACTTTATTCTATCATCCTGTCTTTGTGCTTCTGTATGGGACAGGTCAGACAGAATGCCAAACCATGGTTTTGCATTATATATTTGAAAATCTGTTTCTTCTCCATCCTCCACTTTGCAGATGCCTCCCTCCTTTGCTAGTCTGGATAAAAGGCAAGCCATGGTTTCCCAAAAGCCATGGTTTGCATCAAACAAGAAAATGAGGGAGAAATTTTTCACAAGGGAAGGAGGGAGAGGAGCATGCAAGCCCAAAGATGCTGCCATGCTTGGTCATGTAATGTCAGATCATGATGTGGGATTCAACTAAATTGTTGTGTGCATGGGAGTAAGGCTTTGACGGGGCTTCCTAAACCTGCCCTGGAGGATTGGGAAAACCCTCAGAACAGGTTTAGAGGGCTTTGGGGTTGGAGAGGTAGGAACGTCCCATTGCATGAGCGGGCCTTGTTTCCCATGTGCACACCCCAATGCTACATGGAATTCCACCCACTGAGGCCCTGGGTGTTCCAGAGCAAAGTCCATGTGGAACCAAACAGAGCCTCCACCTGAAATGTGGAGGTGGCTGCACCAACTGTTCCTATTATGGTGTGAAACAGTACAGATTAAGAGACCGTGTTAGAAATTGTGCATGTTATGAAAGAGGATGGTTTCATTAGTGAAGAGCTGTGGTAGCATTATCATCTTAACCCTTATGGAAAGTGTTCTCAGTGTGGTTCCTGTCCAATAACGTTTGCTAGGACCTCTGCTATAAAATATGACAGAGTCCTTGTGAATAAAATACTCTTTTCCTAGGATTTATAAAGCACTTGTTACCGAATTGTGGGGTGTTTCTAGAGTGTGGAAGAGATGATGTCCGAGTAACTCATCCCAGATCAACACCAGTTGATCCCATTGATCGGAGCTGTCAGAAGGTGGTTTGAATTTTCTTTTGCACATTAATATGTGAATATACTTTTTATCTGAAGCAGAATGTTTTCCTTGGGATAGTCCTTAAGTTGCTTGTAGCTTGCAGGTTGTAAATTGTGTATTATTCTAAGGTAGAGTATTGGGGAAACAATAAAAGAATAGCATGGGATTGCCGTACCATGCTCTGATATGCTTTTTATTGAGGATGTGTTCTTGATAAACTTGCTAATAAGGATAGAGACTGACTCCAGAATTCAAAAGAAAAAGAAGAGCTAACTTTGTTTAGTGTTAATATTTTGAAAGTTTAGCAGCTTAAAGAAGAGGAAGCAAAATCAGTTTGAAAAGAGTTACGCATAATCGCACCAGGATTCAGTGAATATGTTTCAATCAATCAGTTTTATTATCTCGGCCAGAGGCCATAATACAGAACATAATTACTAACAACTACAAATAAAGACAATTATCCAGAATAAAACAGTACCATATAAAAGTCACAATCCACACTTCTTGCAAATAATCACCACCTCAACATAATTCTTTGGTAGAATTTAAAAAGCGTATCTTGAGAAATAAAAACTAAGTGACTGTTCCTACTTCATAATGTAGTTGCTGTTCCTTTGGGAAGCACCCTAGACTGCCTGCATTTTATTGTACAATCTTTTTTCTATCTCTGTGTGATGCAGCAATATCACTCTTCAGTGATCTTACCGGTTGAGCATAGCCATGTATATTTTAAATATACATTATTCAGGCAGAGGGAGAAACTGCTATACATAGAGCTCATCCTATTTGCTCTCAGCAGCCTAGTCTATGAATGGCCATGCCTGTCCTAAAGCGGGATTATCCAGCCTGCTGCAACGGTCTAATTGGAAAATAATGGCTGTGCTATCCTAACTTTGTCAGTACAGGAGATACTGTACTGGAAGGTGGTGTCCCTGTAGTTAGACTTGTATTACCTTGGTCTGCCCTCCAGGTTTAAAGTGCAAATGTAGTCCGGGCTTCACTGAAGGAGATTCTAGATAAAGGCAGCAGTGTTTGGATTTGTGGCAGCCCTCAATGCTATTTGTTTCCTTATACCTGGATTCCACCTTGCTTGATCTGCCATTTTCCCACCCCTGCTCCTATAAAGGCTAAGCCAACTGGTATTGCTTTAATGTCTGTGATTTGCAGTGGGCGTTCATTCCAGCTGTTTGCATTAGATTTCCTTTCCGCCTTCTTTTCCACAGTAGGCGCTCTGCAAATGTCTTTAATTACCTTTAAATAGCCGTGCTCTGCCTGGGATGCAAACTTACCTTTCCATTCTGTTCAACGCTACAGCTTGAAAACACCCACACTGATAGGAGTTGGTCCAATAAAAGGTCACTCTTTATATGTCATATTTGTGAAAACCAAGTAATACTAACGGCTTTTGTAACAGGCTTTAGATTTATTTATTTATTTTGACAATTTGTATAACTCAATGACAGTAGCCACTAAGCAGTGTACAGAAGACTTGATACAATAAGACCAAAAATGTGTTAAAACTATAAAATCAGAATTCATTTAGAACGCCTGCTTGAATGAAATGCCAGTAATCATTTTGTTTACTGTGTCACCATTTCCTGCTTTAGTCTTTTCTAGCTCTGATAAACTTGTTATCCTACCCTGCTGTTTACGAACTGATAGGTGATCAAGCGATACCTAATAAACCAGAATATTCTCTCCGTGAAGTTCCTACAGATATTATAGTAAGTAGCTTGGCTTTCAATCCTTTTTGAAAAGCTCTTTTGAATGGTTATATTGCTCTGATTGAAACACGCTCTTTTGCAAATGGATTTAATGTTTTCTTATTGCTTTAACTTTATAATTTTGTATCTCCTTTTGACAATCATATGATGAGTGGTTTACAAATCTGTTCAATAAAAATAAGAAGCTTCATATGGGTTTGGTGTTCTATTGCTGCTTAGGTTCTGAGTACATTTTCAGCATTTCTTTCTTGCATGCAGCATGAGGGCAGTATATGCACAGTGTCCTCAATGTGAAACTTTTTCCCTACAGTCATAGGAAAATGTAATACTTAAATAATAATCTGCAGATGCTGCTTTCTCTTGTCTAAAGACAAATCTCTTCTTTCAAGTGTAAGCAATGGATTTGATTATAATAAAATTATTCTTTATATCATATAAAATCTGTAGATGTATAAAAATCTTTTGCATATCTAAAGAAATATAGATATATTTAATTATAACCAATGTCAAAGTAGAACAAGAGCCACAATTTTGGCACCTGTGTGTGCCAGCCTGCCTAGCAGCACCTCTTATGCTTCTTGAGAAAGGGTTCAATAAGATTTCTTCTAAAATCCACGATGCATGGGACACGCTTTGCTCATCCTGTTCCGGTTGTGTTTGCATTGGTTCGGCCTTTCCTCATGCCCCCTCAGACATGCCCACGTTTCATTGGATGCCAGGATTGGACACCCAGCCTCCTACTCTGAGCAGAGGAGAGGTGCAAAGAGCTTTCCTTTGTGAGTGAGTGTGGTGGTGACTGATGCACATGCCTTTTCTTCATTGATAGGGAAGGGTTGAATACTTTCCTGCTCTTTTAGACATGGCAGCCATTTTTGTGTTATGCCATGCCCTTGTGGCAGCCATTTAGTGACTGCCATTCAAGCACTTCCTCAAAATTGCATATGCACCACTGCCTCAAAAAGGTTGAAGTTCCCTGAACTGGAATGTGATTTTCCTTTTCTTGGTCTTTTACCCATGGCCCACTTGGGAGATCCAGGGTAGAGACATTACTGTGTTTGGTGTTGCTGTGCTTTATGCCATCCCTGAATGTAATTTAACCATAAAGGTATCTGTGACCTTTCTTTTTTGAGGTCAGTTCCTGAATCTTGGGGATGGCTCTTCCCACTTCCACTGATGCATCAGTGGGCTGTGTGGTCAACCAGATGTCTGCTTGTGTTGCCATCACTGTTGATGACCTTGGTGTAAATGGTTCTTTTTGGATTTCTTCATTCTGTTGCTCTTCCTTTTGACCGGAACACTTATCTTGGTGTAATGTTGATCAAGTTGCATTGGGTTGTTTCATGACAGTTTATCCTTCTATCCCTCCGTAGTAGGACTAGATCAGTTCTATGTGACTATAGCAGATTTGTTTTAAGTAACATAACAAATATCTAAACAATGTAAAATAATAAACAAAAGCAAATCTTACACAAAACAAGAATCCATCAAAATGCATCAATGTAATACAACAGCAAAATACAGCAACAGAATGCAACAGAATTGCAATATTATCTTTAAAACACACACACACACACACACACATCAATATTGCAGAAAAGTATCCTTTTAATGAATAATACAAATCAGGAATTCAAGAACCATACTTGGATACTGCTCATTCAGCCATCACACTTTCTTTGCATACATTATACCACTTCATCCACTCAGTTCTTACTTCAGCTGAACACTATAAACATTTAACAACCAAAAATCATGTACTGTACAAATCTAACTGGTGAAAAGCCAGTCACCTGCCCTGCTCTCCATAGATGGTAAGGGAGGAAGTAGATACAGCTGTGTGTGCTTTGTAACCCTGCTCTGTGTCCAGAACCTAGCCTGCTACTCTCTGGTGCAGTGAAGGGCATTACTCTGTCATCATGTTGAAATAAAATTCTACTGCCAGTCTCACCATGTAATATGCTATCTTGTCTTTTGTCTCAGGTAGCACAATGTCTATGATCTCCCCTGCTACCATGGCAAGCACACTATGCTTCTCATTTAAGGAAGGGTTGTTGCTCAGTTGCATCTGCTTTCCATATGGAAGGCCCCATGTTCAATTCCTGGTATCTCCATGTGGGGCTGGGAAGGACTCCTGCTTGAAACCGGGAGAGCTGCTGCCATTCAGTGCAGACAGTACTGAGCTATACGGACCAATGATCTGACTTGAAATAATGAGTATAGTGCCAAATCCCCTTTGGCTATTCACATTTATTCTGAGGTTTTGGGAAAGAAACTGGAAACCTTACTCTTGGCTGCTACAGCTAGGCAAAAGTGTTTTTGCTCAGTGTAGACGGAGTTGCTTAGCTGTTCGAGGTGTCAAAGTACTTTGGATGTAAGAGCAAATCAAAAGATGTTGCCAAATCTCTATTCTTGGCGGATTACTTACACTCTCACATTAGCAAGGTTGTATAAATTTACTTGTTTAAGGAAGTAAACTTCCAATTAGGAACAGTTTTCCTTTATAGGAATGCTATTCTATACTTATTCACTGTGTTTTCCCCAGATGTACACATAGATTTAAAAATAAATGCACTGGGTATTAAATACATGTAGAGAATCTGATAATGACTATTTTTATGATTCTCTTTTCACTCGAGTCAGAGAAACTGACTGGAATGAAATGGGGAAAATACTTACTTTTTAAACACAAGAACAGTTTGCTGAATTGCTTCTTGCCAGTTTAAGAGCTATTTGTGAGGAAATGTAACAACCAAATCATATACTTGTCCATATACTTTAAAAATGTGGCTTAATGAAAATGGTTGAGTAATAATGTTGTCTGCTCAAAGTGCTCGTCACATATTAATAAAATTGGTGCTTATATTTCAGGATATCATTGACAGGCTTATAATTGTGAACACAGAAGCTAAAATTCATTCATTGTTCAATTATGAGCAGTCTCATATCTTTGGCCTGAGGTAAGATACTAAATTTTCTGATTCACTTAAGGTAAAATAATCAGCTAGTTTCTTCTGTTCTGCAGTGCTGACTTGGTAAAATGCTTATGAATCTGGCCAATATGAGGATGCGGGTAGAGGTATCTGTGAGTGAAATATACAGGTTGAGTGCTGTATGGCAATGAAACCCAATATACAGTCAGGGAAATTAGACTATGCACAAAGGAAGTATTTCCCCTAGACAACATGTATTGTACCCGTTCATATGAGGCTTAGAGATAATCCTCTCAACGCAAATCTTTGGTGTCCCCACCCCCACCCCCACCCCATTATATTGTTTATTATAGGTTGCTTTTGGAGGTTGGAACTCTTAGCTGCTTGGGATGCAGTCTACAATTTTTGCTGTGCTGACACAATAGAAAGAACTTAGGCACTTAAACCGTTACTCCTTGCTGTCTCTTGTTGGATGAGGAAAGAAATAGGATGCTGAAATTTTAATCAAGAGCTGCAGTGGTTTTGACTGATGTTTTGTAGCTAATTGGCTGTATACAGTCTTGGATCTTTGAATGTCAGGGGTTTACTGTGCCTGGTTTGATGAGCACAACCTTTCTGTTACTTATTTTATTTAAAAAGCATTTATATACTACCGTATTTTTCGCTCTATAGGACGCACTTTTTCCCCTCCAAAAATGAAGGGGAAATGTGTGTGTGTCCTATGGAGCGAATGCAGGCTTTCACTGAAGCCTGGAGAGCGAGAGGGGTCGGTGCGCACTGACCCCTCTCGCTCTCCAGGCTTCAGGAAGCTATCTGCAAGCCTTCGGAGCGCGGCGGGAGTTCCTGGGCTTCGGGCAGTTATTCGCAGCGCTTGCTGCCACTCCCGGACCTGTTCTGGGGGGGTCGGGGGAAGCTCGGGCTCCCCTTGCCTTAACCCCGCGGCTAAAAATGAAGCCGCGCACAGCCTCTCCCGGCTGGAGAGGTTGTGCGTGGCTAAAGATGGATCCCGCTGGCTGTCTTGGCTTCTTTGCTCTTTGGGCTGGGGGGGGGATATTTCCCCCCCTTTATTTCCCCCCCAAAAGTAGGTGCACCCTACGGGCCGGTGCGCCTTATAGAGCGAAAAATACGGTATTTAACGTTACAAAAATCTCTAAGCAGTGTATAGTGTAACAAACAAAGAGTAGATTATTAAACCAAAAAGCACAACCTAAACCAGTAAAACAGCAATATAAAAAAGCATAACAGTGAGAAAAAAAATTCCTGAAGATTTAAACATGTAAAACAGGGTCCAGTCTTACGGGTTAGTGGAAGAGAAGTTTTCACATCTGAAGCAACTGATGATTGCGTGCTTCGTGTATGGCAAAGGGAAGGGCAAGTAGGACCGTGAAAAGAGGACACGTCCAGGAATTCCCAGACATATGGCAACCCTATTCACCCTTCCGTTGCAGCTCCCAGCACACACCCTGAAAATTGGCTTCAGAGGGTTGGGGGCCCCTCCAGAGCAATGTGAAAGGTGGCATGGGAGAAGAGAGAATAGGCAAAAATGGGTTCCTCCTCCTTTTCAGTTAGTGGGGGTTTCCAGTGGACCAAAGGCCCTTTTGGGGGCTCACAGACACCAGCTGGGTAATAAATGACAACAACAATAGCAATGATAATAATAATAATAATAATAATAATAATAATAATAATGATAATGATGATAATGATAATGATGATGATGATGATGATAATAATAAATAATATATTGGACCAGGCAATCTTTCAGATAACCTGGTCCCAAGTTGTTCAGGGCTTTATATATGTTAACAAGTTGATCAGCAGAAGGATGCTTCAGGAGTTACTATCTTTTCCTAGCACAGAATGAAGAAGTTTCTTCCTGCTCAGTTCACTCGCTTTTACCACTTTCTGTAGGTCAATTTCTTTCACTTCTGTGTGAAGTGAAAGTGTGATTCCTAGCTGCTGTAATTTTAGACTGGTGCCATGTGCTGTGCTATTCTGGTACTCCGTCTGTCCCCAATATCTCTGTATTTCTTCTGCCTCAGATTGGAAGGTGTTGTTAGTATGTGGCAGACCCTGTTCCCTGTTCCTGACAAATTTCCTTTGCTGAAGTAGATCAGCTTCGGTAGAGCTTGTTTGACAGTTGTGAGTTTACATCTAACGCAGCAGCGTGTCAGAGGGAGGAGGACTCATTGGAGGGCCAGATCCACATATTAGAGCTGTTTCCCACCATATCTCAACCCATGTCTAAAACAATGCTAACACAATTATTTTATGCAAAATAATTATAGGAAAGAGACTGCCAAATCCAGTGTCAGTTCTAACATCTCTCTACATTATAGCAATGAAATTTACTATGCTAAAGCAGTGGAACAATACTATATGCTGAAGCATTTATCATAGATTATTGTAATTTGCGTTCTCAAATTTATACCTCATCTGTCAACATCATAGCTTACAAAAAGGGTTTAAAACAATTTAAAGCATAACGAACTTGCAATAAAACCACCACAAAAACAGAGACAGTAGGCCACTGCAATGATGGTCAGCTGTTCTTGGACTTCTGGTCCTATCATCCCTGACTATTGGCTATATTGACTGGGGTTGCTGGGATTTGGAGTCCAGCAGCTTCTGGAGGGCTAAAGGTTCCCTGTCCCTAGTCTAGCTGCTCTAACATATTTATCACAATAAAACTGTCTCAAATAGGAAGTGAATGTTGCTATATCTTCTTAGAGAGTATTTACAGTCTTGTGGTTTGTTTTTCCTTTTTTTGCAGTAGGATTTTTTAATAGGTTTCACGTTAATACAAGTGAAAGAATTGTATTCCTTATGGTCTTAATCTCAGTGGTCCACAACCAAGTCATCAGATGGATATTGCAAAACATTGATATCCCTCAAGTCTGGTGAAAGGCAGGCGCCCTTTTGAGTTTTCTTAAACAATTCTCAAAAACAATTTTCCCAGGGGAAAGCTTTCACTGCTTGCTTCCCTTTCTCCTAAACTTATCATTGTCTGTTGGGGAGGCCTGTATGCTAGGGAATCTGAGAAATGAAGTTCCCAATGGATCTTGGCTCAAAAGGCAGCAGTTTCCCAAGCTCCCTAGCTGCAGTTAATTAACACTCAGGAGAATGTGTAGCTTTCCCCTAAAGAAACTAGCTCATCGTGTTCTCAAGAAAATATGTGCAAGTAGTTGTCATTAGGTTATGTGCCTGTCCTTCTTTCTGAACATATAATGAGAAGCCTCAGGTTAATTTTAGCTTTTTATTTGTACCTGAAGTGCCACAAGATTTTCCATTAGTGCATCAAGAGTTTAAATTGGATTCTCTACTTTGAAGATACATTATCTGGATTAAAACCTTTATTCTCTTCCAGTAATCTTAGTACCTGTCAACTCTAGTTTTTAATAACGTTATTTTGGTTCATTTCCTGTATTAGATGTTTCATAGTAGCTCATGCTCTCAGGAGAAGCACAGGGAAGCAGCCCTGTACTCGCCTTTCTTTGCAGATCCAGAACAGGGCGGTGGGTAGAATCAGGCTCACAAACCACAACCAGTTCCTCTTAGATTTTGAGAAGACTGAGGTCCAAACTACTTATAGCATTATCATATAATTTGTCTTTGTAGACCAGTTCTTTCTCACAGAGTCCCTGATCCAAATTGGGAAGCTGGTTTGATAGGAAGGTGAGCCTGCTGGTGTAGCCCCTGTCTAGTTTGCACACAAACTTTGCTTGGGAAGATGCTTCTGTCAGCCAAAACTTAGTTAATTTTCAATCAGTGTATTACCTATAGGGTTTTTTTAAAAAAACATTTACTGCAAATTATACAGGATATTGCAGTCATTCTAATTTTTGTTTTGGAAAACAAAACAGATTGTATTTTCCTCCAGTTTCTCTATTGGAATTGTAATTATGTTGTGTAAACAATCTTTAGCAATAGTTTTAGGGAGCTGTATCTTTTAAACGAATGTACCGTGTTCTACAGAATCTGAGTATTGTCAATGGAGGAGGATAAATTAACATGTCATATATTAATGAGGGGGTGGGAATCCCTGTTTTGTTATATATTCACATCTGGTCTGTTTCCAGTGGTATTAAAACCTGACTGCAGGTACAGGAAACAAATAATTAAATAAAACATTCATGTCACAATCTGTACATACGCACATCAATTTGCATTTGTTTTTAAATTTCAAGCAACACTTGAAATCTTGAAAAGCAAGATTAAGAGAAGTTAACAGGAAAAAAATGTTACAGATAGGTAGCCGTGTTGGTCTGCCATAGTCAAAACAAAAAAATTCCTTCCAGTAGCACCTTAAAGACCAACTAAGTTAGTTCTTGGTATGAGCTTTCGTGTGCATGCACACTTCTTCAGATACACTTCTTCTGTTTCAGTGTATCTGAAGAAGTGTGCATGCACACGAAAGCTCATACCAAGAACTAACTTAGTTGGTCTTTAAGGTGCTACTGGAAGGTTTTTTTTGTTTAGGAAAAAAATGGAAAGACCTAAAATAGCATGGCTAGCAGAACAAGTACAGTAAATGGAAATAGTTCCTTTGAACTGCATTAGATTTGCAATATGAAACCGCCATTACTGATATCAGATGCAGAACAGAGGGCTAAAGAATAGTGTCACATTTTCCATACCTTTTGAAACAACTAGGGAACATTGGCTATGAGCACAAAAGAGCAATCAGGGCTTTTAGTCCTAGACCAAGGGATAAAGTGGTGACCAGTTTCACAAGTTATATAAAAGATGTGCATCTGTTACGACCTCATGAAAGTGCAGTATAATTCATGCAAAGGCATTTAGTGTGGGTAACTTGGATAGAAAATGGTCTGGATTAGTGGGTTAAAATATTCTAGTTTTAATATCAATGGGTGCTTTTGTTTCCTTTGTTTGCTAGTAATATTCAAATTAAACTGTCAAAGACATGCCATGCAGAAAAGGGCATTTGTGTATGAAAAATTATTTTGATATCACACTGATTTTCTGAATGCATCATAATGTTTCTCCCCACACTGATTACTCATAAGTAATTCATAATAATCTTTTCATACTAAAAATGTTTTAGAATGACATGATCATCAGTAATGAAAATATGAATGCTTCTCTTTTGTCCTATAAATCTTTATGAAAGCATTAAATGTCTCAGTATTGATTTTATTAATCTCTCTGTATCACTTCTTGAAATATACTAACGAATGAATGCTTGTCCTGAAGATTATGGAGAATAATTTTATGAATAAAACATTCAAGCAAATGAATAGGCTTTTGAAACTAAAAATAGTTATTACTACATTGCCTCTAGTAGCTTTGTTTTTCAGCAGCCGAATGAGAAAGAAGGCTGGGTCCACTGTAATATTATGTTGGGCTCTTCTTCCTCCTGTTCATGAAATGAAGCATCTGGGTTACACGGCATGGATGAGATAAATTTGGACAAACCAGCCAAATTTCAGTGCAATTCTGTACATTCAGTGCAATTCTGTACATGTCTACTTAGGACTAAATCAAATCGCCTACTCCCATGTAAATGGGTATAGGATCACAACACTGGGAAGGCAATTTTCTTCCATAAAGGGACCAAAGGTTGTTTCCATGCTAGCTTGCTTGCATTGTTGCCATTCTTGCTTCATTCACTTTTTTTCAGAGAAAATGGGTGGCATTGTTGAGATGTTGTTACTTCCTTACATTATGCGCTCCCTTTTCTGGCAAAATTTCTGCTGATTTTTTTGGTATATAAATTAAAACACAACTGGAGGACACAGCCTGTCTGGTGTGGACATCCCAAAGGGTATTCAGCACTCCTGTGCTTTTAAATACAAGCTTCCTAGTTTCAGGTTTTTGTTTTGCTTCTTTCTGTTTTGTGGAGCAGTGGGCTCACTGGTGAATAGCCTGTACAGTGGTACCTCCGGTTGCAGACAGGATCCGTTCCGGAGCTCCGGTTGGATCCCGAGGTTTCCGCAACCGGAGGGACCGCTTCTGCACATGTGCGCATGGCAAAAACCTAGAAATATACCTCCGGGTTTGCGTAACCAGAGGGACACGTAAGCCAAGGTAAATTGTTTCTATAAAGCCTTTCTACATTGTTCCCTTATCAGTTTCTGTTCCTGTTGCAGAAAGGAGCTTTGTATAGTAAAACAATGTTGTTGTATAAAATATAGAAGAAAAATAAAAGGAAGAACTGGTAATTAAAGCCCCTTCTCCCTGGAACAAAACTGACAATAAGAAATTGACAGTCAGTTTAGTAGTATTCAACAAGAAGCAATAAAAAGGCAGTGTGCACATGCAAGAATATAATAGAAATACCTTGACTGTAGATAGCAGTGTTGTTCCAAATGGTGTTCTAGGATAGGTCAGTGGTATTCTACATGCAAACCATATGCTGTGTCCCAGGTTCCTAATTCTGCTTTGTATTACAGCAGTTAGTTAGTTTGTTTCTTTTTTTAAAAAAGAACTCAACTCCAAAATATTTAAACTTGTGTAGTGCTGCTCTGCATTTCCCATAACTTGTAATGTTCTGATATTTCAAAATATTACACCCTGCAGGTTATTAAATGTGCTCTGCTGTGATCTAGATACACTTCTACTTTTAGAATCTCAGTATAAGGTATCAGAAGTGCTCTTAGATGCCCAAAGAGAAAATACCATCTACATTTCTGAAACTTCTCGGTAAGGAATATTCATTAAAAAAATGTATCACCCTACTCTATAGTTCTGTGTAATCTTTACTTGGAGTTTTTCACATAAACCCACAGCCTTACCCTCCAAAAGAAAAATATCAGTGGAGAAGGCACCTCTGCAAATAATAATAATAATAATAATAATAATAATAATAATAATAATAATATATTAATGTATGGCTTCATTGAGTTAAGGAATTTGGCATGAGACCCTTTTTTCATTTGTTGGGGATACAAAAATTATGGTATTGAAAGCATGAAAATCAGTTGTGTTTATTGTCCTCATTGTTGTGCCACTTGAACTGTTCTGTCTGATGCCTACATATCGTTCTTTACTACTTGGCTGCATACAGCCACTAGGAAGCATGCATGAAGGGGTACAACCAACATGAGGCAGAATGAACATCCCTGATGTATTCACAATCTTTATTGACCTGGCAAGGATGGGAATAATTTGTAAGCTTGCTACTCCTTTGAAGTAACTATTCGTTAACCACAACCCATTTTTGGCTTCTGTGTTGTAATTTGATCTTGGGAGGTGCTGATATATTATCTCAAAAACCATTAGGACTGGTCAGTGCACCATAAATAAATACTGAATGCCATAAAAAGAGTAGTTTGTATTATATTCTGGTCAGAAAAGACTAAGCAAAGCACACATAGTGCATTCCCTTCTACCTCTGAATTCCCCTGAATCCAGTGCCAGGATTTTGTTACCTTGTTCAAAACTGCAATTCAGTGTCCATGCTAACAACCGGGCTTGAAGTACTTTCTCAGTAATCTAGCTCTTGAGAATCATGAGACTCATGGCAATTTCCACATGCAATTCAATTTTGTTTTGTTGCAGAGACTTTATAATTGATGGCCTATCAGTAGAGAGAAACCATATTCTTGTTAGAATAAATCATGTTGGTGGACCAACGGAACGGATCTTGCCTCCAAGAATATTGCATAAGGTTGTAAACGTGCTTTTCAGTTTTCTTCACATTTAGCCTCTCTGGAGATAAGTGCTGCAAACTGAGATTTATTTATTATTTCTACCATTTATTTAGAGCTGATTATTCCATTGAACCTCTGCTGACTAACTGCGGCTACTGCCCTTTGAGTGGGCTTAAAAGAGTTGTTCTGTGTAATCATCCTGACTCATTACACTGATAGCATTAAAGTACAGTGTCAAGTGCACTATGTTTTATATGTAGGTAATGCATGAAATATCTGAAGATTACCTGTAAGTACAGAGTGCACATTCTTCAAACGACAGAATGAAATAGACAAGCCATCAGTAAGTTATAACATCACTTTATTATTGGTGGTTCTCCCTTAGGGTGATGATCCATATCCTTGGCCCATGTTTTCATCATATCCTTTACCAACATGCTATCTTGCTGAATTTCCAAGAAAAACTGACACAAGGCAAGGTATAATATGTTAGTTTACTGGAGTGATGTATGTGAAAAGCACAAATATGTATTTTAGATTAATTTGTGGTTGTGTGTTAGTCTGTTCATAAATCTTGGTATGTTTTGTTTTGAGGAACCTTTTTGAAAGGCTCACGAGGGTAAAGAATATGAGCTGAACATATCTGTATGGCAGCTGGAGTTTACCACATTCCTTTGGGATAGTTTTTTCTTATTTGTATCTCTTGATTTTCTGTTTGCATTGCTTGGTTTGTATTTTATCATTGAGATGCAATATGGATCTGTATTTATTCACATTTGAATCATAAGGTGTTGTCACAGAGAGGGTAGCTCCAAGCAAAATCCCTTGTGAAAGAGAGAACACAGTAGGTGCAGATATTTATGTCCAGGCAAACAGTACAATAATGGCATGCATTTCAAACACTTAAGGCTCTTTAGAGGATAAAATAAAAATCTTTGTGGAGCTTAACTCTACAAATCAAGGAATTTTACTGAATGTACCCCATGTCCCATAGGCAGCATTTATTCCCCAAAGAAGAGTCTTACGCATTCAAAACCTGCCGGGATTGCATGGTTTATCTGTGTCTACTGTGCTTTTCCCTTTCAATTCTAAGATGCACACATTATCCATTAGGCTTAACGTTTTTGTTAATACACATGTATATTACCAAGTGTTAAATTGAACACAGGATGACTTTACACTTGTTCCTTGAATTTAATACAAACACAGCAGGGTTTTTATAATAAAAGCAATCAGATACTGGGACCCAATTCCTTTACGTATGAAAATCAAACTGAGGGAAAACAGAATATGGGAACAAATTAGTTTTCCCCTCCCACCTGATAACCTATAAAGGGAACTCAGTTTTGTTCTAGAAAACCTTTCCCTACCCTAGTACCTTCTGCCTGGAGTTGAATCAGGGCTGTCAAAGCGAGGCAACTGCCTCAGGTGACAGTACATTATAATCCTATACTTTGCTTAAGCAGCCACGTTTCTTGGTGTGGCCCTGAATTTTTCTCCTAACAGACACAGTCTTAAATTTTCTAAGTTATTCTTGTTAAGTACTTTCCAGTCTTCTACACTATTGCCACCTTTCATTATCATAAAAGGAAAGGGCAATCATGTAGAGTCAAAAAGTGGGATCCTGAGAAGCATGATAAGACATATAGAATACCTTACACTTACAAATAGATATAAACAAAAGGTGTTGAAAGTAGGTAATGAATAACTATTCCTCCTTGGCAGTGGGAACAAGTCATGATCATACAGGGAGAAAGGGCCAGAGGAGTTTTGTCATCACCAACGATCTAATCTGTGTAAGAAGCTTCTTTTTCCCTGTGCCTGGCTGCATGAAGTGAACATTAGATGAAGAACTAAATTAGGCTTGTGCCAGTGAGGGCCTCTGAGAAATGAAGCCTTTTGGTGTAATTACTTGGCATTTGAATGTGCATATGGAATAGATTGGAAGAATTGTACTCGTCGAACAGCTTCGTGAAATACTCTGGATTGGTCAAATGAATTCCAGTGACGGGAAAACAATTTAAGTATAAATTATTAAAGTCCAAACACTATTTTAAAATGCATTTTATGCGGTGAAAGAAACAGAAAGCAAATATTTTCTATTGAATAAAAAAAGGCTAACAGCATTTGCAAGTGATGATTTCATTTAGGAAGTTGAATATTAACTAGGATACTAAAATGCTGAAATGAAGCAGGAATAATAAGTATCTTAAAGAACCAAAGTTTCTAAAGTCTGACTACAGAAATGTTTTATTGTGTATACTTAAAATGAATTTAGGCAATTTTAAAGTCTAGAAACAGGTACGATATTGCACAAACAAGAACTTGGTAGAGGATGATAGCAGAGAGAAATTATCTTGATCACTTTGATATTTACAATTAAGAAATTCACTGAAAGCTTCTTGGAGGCTCATAAAGAGCTATTTCTAAGCACCTGTTTGTAAAAAGCAGGACTTTTAATTTCAGGTAAATGCTGTTACTATGGTAATATTTAGTAATTCTAATACTGCATGAAGTTTAAATAGGCAGAGCAGCCAGGTGGGAGGGGAGTGCCTCCAGCCCCCATCTGCTGTTTGAGCCAAGCAACTCACCTTCACAGTCCAGTCCTCTTATGACCTGTGAACATCTTTTTGTATTTCCTTGTATAGGAGCTTTATTGGTTTGAAGCAGACTTACCAAGTTCTTCACTGATTGCTGTGGTCATTTAGGCAAAAGTAAAACCATAGCTTTCATAGCAATATTTTCATCTTCATTTTAGATGGCGATGCTAGCAAGCTTGCATGTGCTTTAAATAATCCAGATAAACCGCTGGAATTGATTGAAAATATTCAAAGACAGTTTTGTGAAATCATGGAAAACAAACCAACTGTTATGAGTGGAACCAGTAAGTACAATTATTTTTAAAGGGAAATTGCTTATCCTTGCTACGTTATATTGATAATTCTTTATAGTGAGGTATGATTGAGGACTGTCAAAGGGGAAGACATGCCATTTAAACCAGTTTGCATTATATGTTGCTATGTCCTAAATTATGGTGCTGGAGGAGACTCTTGAGAGTCCCATGGACTGCAAGAAGATCAAACCTCTCCATTCTTAAGGAAATCAGCCCTGATTGCTCACTGGAAGGACAGTTCGTGAAGCTGAGCCTCCAATACTTTGGCCACCTCATAAGAAGAGAAGAAAAGACCCTGATGTTGGAAAAGATGGAGGGCACAAGGAGAAGGGGACGACAGAGGACGAGATGGTTGGATAGTGTTCTCAAATCTACCAGCATGCTCTGGTCCATGGGGTCACGAAGAATCGGACACAACTAAATGATTAAACAACAACAAAATGTCCCAAATTGGTTGGAATATGCCTGTCTCAAGCGACAATTGAGGTGAAGTCAAACTGTTGCTGGGTTGTAGCGCTTGCTGTGGCTGTAGAGACGGATGTGGAAGAGACATGTTTTGTTGCATCTGGGGCAGATGAAGGCATCCAGTTGTGCTGCAGCAGATGCACCATGGCGTTTCTTCTCTCTGCACTTCTCCCACGGTTATTTTTCCTCTGCTCTATGGGGAGCTGGCTTCCAGCACCAGGCCCATTGGTAGACCAACTCTGCGTTCCAAAGATGTCTGCAAATGTGACATGAAGCCTGACAACATCAACTCCGCCAGACCGGAATCCCTTGCAGACAACTGCAGTGCCTGGAGACGTCATGTATCCATAGCAGTATATCCTAAACATTCCTCTAAGAATCCCTGAGAGAGTTACTCCAAATGAATTACTCCATCAGAATTATACATTATTTAGGCAATGGTTTCCCAAAGTGGTTGATATTGATGTGAATGTGCAGGGGCTGAATAAAAGATCTAGAATTCCAAAGTAGGTCAGAAACGGCCTAGGGGTGGAAAAGATTGCCACAAGGGACAGTGTGGAAATGCAACGAGCCTCAGGAATAAAGAACATTAATATGTACAGAGTGCATCTCCCTTGCCAGTGAGGAGCCTCTGTATTTAATAGATGATTTTACAATGTGACAGTATTCCTTATTTTTTTTTCCATTTTATGATTCCTAGTAATGGTGATTGGTGGGTTTAAAAAGGTTGATTATACATTGATATTTCTGGATGTCATTTCATTTACATCCCTAAGAATTTGGGTTGAGGGGGTCAATGACAACTTTATAAGCTCGTCAAGGGGTCAGTGAACTCAGATGTTGGTGAAAGCCTGCTCTAGGCAAACCTGTGTTTGCAAAGATCACTTTGGGAACTATCCATGAAAGAATGAAAAACAATCATACTCAAATATGCTGTTTGCATAGAACATAAAACTCTTCTCCCTTTTAGGGCTTTCTTACTCATTTAAATGAGTAAGACAAGTGCAAAAGACTTCCATGGAGAGCTTGGAAAGTTTCCTGCTGAGATGCAAAAGGAAGCAGGTAGCTGTGTTGGAACGCCTTTTGCACAAAGGAGGACAGAAACTCTTAAAGTGCATTGACCTTTACTGCAAGATGAAGGCCAAACTTCCCTCCTCAGAACCTCTATATAGAAGAATGTAGGCAGTGCAATCTAATTACAGCTAATTTTCTTTATGTTGAAACTGTCTAACAAATTCCGAAGTAATCCTCAGAGGATCCAAGGATAACAAACGATTCCCTTTCAGTTTACACTGAATAGATTGTCAGAGAAGCCATTAAAATTTTAATTTAAACCAGGAATGTTGTTATGAATACAAAAACAGAATGCCTGTTTTGAATTATTTTTGCCATGCTTTTGTGAATAAACATGCGGTCGTATAGACAGCTTTAGGCTGCAATCTTGTAACGCACTTACCTGGGGGTAAGCCTCTTTGAACCCAGTGAGACTTTCTTCTAACTGCATATGTAGTAGAGTGCACTGTTAGTTGCCTGTAGGCTTTCATTTTGGTTCATTTTCTACTCACTGTTGTGCTGTGGTCAGAGTATTGGCCTATATCAGAGGGACTAAGATTCAGTCCACACTCAGCCATGGCGCTCACTTGGTGCCCTTGAGCCACTCACTGTCTTTCGGTCTATCCTATCCCCCAGGGTGATTGAGAGGATAAAATGGAGTGGAGCAAGCTACATACACCACCTTTGGTCCTGTGGAGGAAAGGCAGGGTATAAGGGAAACAAACAAATTGGTTGATATAGTTCTGCATTTTACTTTGTGGCATTTTTAAATATATATATATATATATTATTTTATTGTTACAAAATTGTGTACACACAAATCACAAAACATGACATGATTTCTTTTTTAAAGGAAATTTTGTGGCATTGATGCTTTAATCATTGTGGTTTTATTGCAGATTTGGCAGAATTAATGGAAATGTTTGTCTTGCATCTTTCTGAAACACCATCAGAATGTTACTTCACCAGCAGAGAATGTGAAGGTAATTTTCTTCTCTCATGCGGTTTTTTTCTGGCTTGCAATGGTCAACTGAAAGGTAACTGCCACACTTCTGGCTTCTGAGCCTTCCTCAGTGGCCCTGAGTGGAACAGGTAGAAATAGCAGGCTCCTTCCTCTTGATCTGGTTTGACCCAGCTGACCTTCACTTTTTGACTGAAAAAGAAAAGCAGGCTATAATTATAATTAAAACATTATAATAGGAGGATGGCAGATCTTGGCATTTTATGACGTAGTGATGAGGTTTTCACCTTTCTCATAGCAACATGCATAGGTTGTAGAATATTGAGTTTACTATTTTATTCTAAAGTGAGTATTTGTCACAGCATACAGTTGGTGGCAGAGGGACAAGGGACAGAATTCATAGACATAAGGGTTCCTTGGTGGGGCTGTCCTAAGGCCTTGGCTGCAGCTCTGGGGACTGAGGCTGGCCTCTTTGCACCCATGTGGGTGAGCAACCACTGGGATGACCCACAGTGAGGTGGGCCATTCCCTAATTCCTGACAACATCAGGCAGAAGTCAGGCCACCCAATACCAAGATCCTTGCTGCCATGCCACAACAATTTCCATTATCAATAAAAAATTGTGGCCATATTTTCCCCAGCCATTGACTTTGTGTGTGATCTTTGGTCCAGTACGCTTGCACTCTGTGTCTGGGGTACAGCATGTAACTCTCAACATTAGCTGGCTTTTGCAGAGTCACGTTGACCCTGTCACCTCATTTTTGAAAAAAATTATTTTCTTATGCCTTTCCAATAGGCATAAATCTGACATAAAGCACACATGATTTCACTAAAATAAGGAGGATCCTTCTGAAATACCACATAGCTATTTACATCTCATTATGGTTCAAGAGTAGCTGGAACATGATTTTTTAATTGGGGGCTTCTGTAGTGCATTTTATTCCACCTATCAATGGAAATTGAAATGTTTTAAAAATTAAATATAATTTTATATTTTCAACATACTCCTTTGACACTTTTGTTACACTATGGCTCCCTGTTTGTCTTCTCCTCTGTATTGAGCCCTTGAATCATATACTGGAATAAACGACAGAGAATCATCGAGGATAAGAAATCTGAAATAAGGATGTCCGGTATCCCAAATTATTTGTAAAGGGAGCAGATGGATTTGAGTTTTAATAAGCCAGCAGACTACTTAGTGCAGCCCCTCTGTACACACACACACACACACACACACACACACACCTTGGCTAGGCTTTGATCAACAGGGAGTATAACAATAGTTTAGCCTGGCTTTTTAATGAATAGAATCAATGTGTTATATGAAAGTAGTTTCAGGACAATGCATTGATATTCAGTGTTATCATGTTTCTGGAAATGAGAAATTGATTATCTTAAACTACAGCAGCTTTCTAAACCCTTGGGTAGTTGAAATTAGAATAACACAATTCATCCAGCTGTTGTGAAATCCCTCAGGATTTCAATCCATTATAAAATTTGCAAATCTGGAAAAATCAAATTAGTTTCGGTTAGCGTTTTAAAGATGAGGGAGAATAATAAGCTAATATATTGACATTTATACAGTTGCAGGGCTTTTAAAAATTATAATAAACAATAGCAACACTTAACTCTATATTGCCTGTCCGTTGGCTTATGTGGAAGATGCGCTTAAAGTTAAAGCTTCTATGAAAAAAGACTTCTGGAAATCCAGCCTCTGTCTTTCATAAAATATATGGATGACACATGAATATGATCCATGCATATAGCTACTATATATAGCTTTAAATATCACTCCTGAGCTCAAACCACCACAACAAAACTGACACTACATATTTTAAAATCTTTCCTCTTTGTTTCTCTTTTCCATCGCCATATGGCAGCCTGCTGGCCGTAGAGGTGGTACTGGAGTACTTGCTAGTCCTGACAGCAATGTTCGCATCAGATTATCTGCTATAAATTAAGATGCTAAGGTAGTAGACTCGCCATTTTCCAGCTACATTTGTGAAACCCCAGATTTAAGTCTACTCATAAAATAACATTTGGAGTGGCAAACCTATTTTTGGGCTGTGCTTTTTGGGCCCCTCTGCAAGATTTAATATTTTTCTGCAGAAAATTAGCATGGTGAAGACAAAACTCATTTTAGGATCCATCTCACAGGCACCCCAAATGTCTCTGGATTGGGTTTTTTAAACATTTGTTTTGGTATGGAGTAATAGTCAGACATGTTGGGGGTAGCATATTTCAGGCATAGGTTTGAAATCTTGTTTCTTATTAAAGGATCTCTAAAAGTGGGACAATGAAAATCATTTCCTGCCCGTCATTAATGGTTGACCCTACTTGGCTAGATTGTCCTGAGAGAAGACTAAACATTATAACCTCACTCGTGTGTGTGTGTATTAAAAGCAACCTTTGACCTTTTTTCTGGAAAATATCTCCTCTCATCCCTCCCTTCCATGTAGTTCTTGCCCATAGTTTGGCAATGAAGTGAAAGTGGACAAAGCTTCCCTTTTAATTGGAGAGCATAGCAAACATTATAAATTGGGCTGCATGTCCCATTTGGGATTTGGTTATTAAAAGAACATTTCAGACTTTGTTGTCTTCCACGGGTTTTTTATTTTCATGCTTGCCATTTGATTACATGGGGTTACTGAGCTCTATAAAACTAAGACTGCACTTCTGCTGCTCACATTTTATTTTTTCCCCCTTCAAAACTCTGAGGAGTACTTTGTTAATAGAGAAACAATTCCAGCTGAAGAGGGTCTTTAAAATTCTGGCAAATGTAATGTCATTTTAGAAATAAGTAGCTGTATATATTTCGAGCTGAACACGTCTCATGTAATTAGAATTAGGACAGATCATACACATTATTTTGCATCTCCTTTCAAGGTAGCAATAAAAGCTGAAAATCCTGGAACATGGATTGCACTTTTAAAAATTGACCTTTATGTTTTGAAATTGCTTTATTCTTACCAGTAGTAATTTAGCATGAGGACAGGATTGCTCATCTGCTAGATGGTATCTAAGGATGCAAGTGCAAAGAATTATTTTATTATGTGTAGATTTGTAAGAGATTGGAATTTTGTGTTCTAGGAAAGAAGATTATTCATTGTTATCTTTTTTTAGTTTTCTTGACCTTTATGAAAGGCATTTAACTTCTAAACTGAATTGTGTTCTAGCTGCTGTTTTCAGCCACTGTTACCATATTTCTTTTGAGTTTTAGTTTTATGTTGGATTTTATTTTTTCTATCATACTCTGTAAGCCAGCATGAGAGCCATCCAGATTCCTCTTGATGGGATAAACATAAAGATAAGGCCTTCTTTAGGTTCTGCATATTCTCACTCTTGCAGTTAATGTCTCCTCTCTCCGTCCACCATGCACTGTTTTGGGATTTCTCCCAATCCTCTGGAGCATATGGGGGGGGGGGAGGGCACAGGGGATGAGAAGGGGAAAGGTCCCATTGCACTGGTGGGAATCCTTAAGTTAGCTTCTGCTAGTACATCAGGGTGATTGGATACAGCCTCTGGGTCCAAGTGGCTTCAGGGAGAGAGACCCATTGCCTGTCCAGGTCGTTCCTATTTCAGTAGCTACAGTATGGAGGTGTAAGAGCAGCAGTTGCTCAAGCAGCTTCCTTCTGTGCGAAAAGAGAGCTGGGTGGATTATGCCAAAATGGCAAAATTGAATGGGAAGATTAGACACCAAGAGGACAAAAAAATTAGAAATGAACTTTATAGAACATATGTAGGAGCATTGCAAACATTTAAAAACGTTAGCAGGCTTGGATTAGCACTTGTAATATAATTTGATAAAGGGGTATTGAAAAGGCAGACTTAATAGATTAGATAAAAGTATTTAGTCGCAGAAAAGAGAAGAGATAATTACTGGAAACTGGGAAGAGGAGTGGGGGGAAGTCTGGGGGTTGGAAGAACCCCTATAAAGATAGTGAATTTGTTATGGATTAATGCAATTAATATTGTATGCAAAAAGAAGTTGTGCTTCTTGGATGTCAAGAATAGCACCCTGTTAACACTAAGAAGAGGAAGTCACATTCCTTTTGGGAAAATTGACACCAACACTTGTAATTATCAGTGTTAATGGCATCCAACTAGTAGAAACGTTTTTTGGTATTGTTTAATAGACTATTAAATTGTTATTTTAGAATCTAAATTTGATAGAAAACCTAAGAACTGCACACAATAGATCTGATTTTTAAAATGGTGTATGGTGGTGGGGAGGCTGCCTTATTCTGCTTAGAAGCTGGTGAATTCTGAATTAAGGATGTGTTTTGAAAAACAAAAATGGTCAATATTGTTAAACTACTTCAGCACAAGTTCTCAGCATGACTGTATCTGGAATTCTGACAGTCACCATATATTGAAATTAAATATGAATTGTGATACATCCAATTGAATGTTTGATTTCTTTAAAAAATGAATTACACATGTTCTGTGCAATTTTTATTTCTCTTTGAACTGTGAGGTGTACTTAAATCTTTTCCCTGAATTTGGCATCTTGGGAGCTGCTGCCATAGCATATTTTATTCATTCTGCTTAACTACTATAGCAGTTTCACCTCTTTGTCTGATTGACAGTTCAGAGATACTCTGCCTTTTGTTAAGGGGAAAATGGTTTTCTTATTGAGAAAATTGATCCTTTGATGCTTTTGTTCTGAAAGCCACATTATTTCAAGACATTTTTAATAAAATGGGTTTCACATTGATTTTGGGGGAAATTAAATAATGTATCTCGGAATAAACAAGGTACATTTTGTGCATCATTACAATTGCAGCTTTCGTGCCTCCTCCCCTTCCTTGTAGAGGTGTTGAGCTCCTAATGTATTGAATAAAGTAAAAAGAAAGACTTGTAGGCCCACTTTTTTTATAAACAGCAGATGAAAATATTGTTAGCCTGGAAAAATCTAAGAACTACCGCACCAGTCCAATGCTTCACTCATTGGTTAATATTAAGTGTACTTCAATTGTGAAGAGTTCTGCAAGCCATTTTAAAATCTGCACTGAAAGAGTTGATACAAATATCTTCTGAATAGGAAAACATAGCTATAATGACAACCCAGCCACAATTTTGCACATTAATTTATGTCATGAATAGATACATATATATAAGAGACTGTGAAACAGGATAATCTGTTCGTTCATTTTGATTATAGTGAATTAGGCTATTGTTTTTACTGGATGCTACCCATACTTGGCAAAAGGCTGAGTTGAGTCAAATATTGGAGAAGAGCACTTGATGTCAAGTTCTGTCTGCGGGATAAGTGCTTAGACAGAGCAACAGTGTTGGGAGTGGTTAGTAGTTATAGAAGACAAATCACAAAATCCAAAGCCCTCTGGGAATGCACTGTCAGGACAGAAGGTGGTGTGATGGTGTTGTTACCCATTTTCTCTCTCCTCCTATTGGCTTTTAGGTTTTTTTTTCAAGAATTTGAATAGGGAAAAGAAGGGACACCAGCCAAAGGGTCAGCATTCTTTCCCGACGGTTTCAGAGTGAAAGGGCTTTGAATTCAAGCAGATCCAAAGACACCACTTAAATCCACCCGCAAAATGCTCCCTTTTGCCCTCTTCTCTGTGGGGAAGTAGTAGCTATGGATCTTTTCATAGCAACCTGGATGAAGCTTCTTCAGAGCCCATGGAGAAGGCGAGACAGATGGTTCCTGGAACTCCATCGCAGCACCCATAGGATTGTGCATAAGTACTACAGACAGTATTTAGGCAAGGTTCCACTTTGACAGTTTTATGAAGTTGTAAGGGGTGATGAACCATAAGCTGACAGTTATTTATATCTGTCATAAAATGGAAGCTTGTAGAGTTCAGTTGTTAAAAGTAAGGCCATAGATAGTCCAAAATGTTGTCTTATTGTAACTATAATAACTATTATTTATTGCTTTCACTAAATTCACTGTATTATGGATTGTCACCAAACTTCATCTTTTAAACAGTTCTTAGAAATTCAGATTAAAATGGTTAAACACTTATTTTTATAAATTATTTTTTTTAAAAAAAATGTCCAGTAGCACCTTAGAGACCAACTAAGTTTGTTCTGGGTATAAGCTTTCGTGTGCATGCACACTTCTTCAGACACCACACGAAAGCTTATACACAGAACAAACTTAGTTGGTCTCTAAGGTGCTACTGGACAATTTTTAATTTTTATTTATTTATTTTGACTGCGTCAGACCAACACTGCTACCTACCTGAACTTATTTTTATGTGACTTTTTCTTTTCTTTGCAGCTGGTGCAAATGTGGAGATCAAAACTCTTTCATCTGTACAGCAGCTTGGCATTAAAATGACAATCAGGTACATTACTTCAAAACATTTCACTTAGGTATTTATAAAATGTTCATTTTTAATTTGTTATGACTTGAATGCTATTGAAACCATCCATTTGACATAATATAGCATTTAAATTGAACAATTTTATGGTGAAAATCATTGTAACGTGAATGGCTTGGAACCACAGAACTGCACACGGTTTCTCTCACTGCTACCAGCACCTTCCAGACCAGATACATCACCAAAATATTGTAATGTTCCATGAATCAATGGCCGAGCAAGCTCTTCCTACTCTCACTGATCCTACAGTAGAGCTATTGCTACTTCCCAATCCCTGTTGGCTCACTGCATCCATTGTGGGGGGTCCATAGACCTTTTCCTCCTTTTTCCCCCCACACCCCTCATTGCAGCCAACAGAAGGGAATTAACTACACCAGACTCATCAATGTGGCAAAATTATGCACATCAGCATGCATCACCAGGAACCAGATGATTACATCTCTCTACCAACCACACTAGCACTCAGAAAACTCATTCTAGTGTGATTATGAATGTATGGCAATGCACAAACATACCTGTCAGGGAACTGCCATCGGAAGGACAGGAGGTGGAAGGGCTCCCTGAGGTTGAGACAGACTTAACAGCTGAAGAGGGAACCAGCAGGGGGAGAGGAGGGGCTCCAGGGGAAAGTGAGTCGGAGGGATGGCTCAGAGACCCTTCCAGTGAAAACAGTGGGGAGGTTTCAAGACCTCCTATAGGGACACCCACTCCTCGCCGGAAACTGTCGCGCCGAGAGTCCAGAAGACGTGTTTCCGTTAAGGAGCTTTTATGCTGGAAGAGATTCCGTAAGAGACCACTTTCGGATTCTGCTAGCGACTGACGGAGCCATGCTGGAGGGGCTCCGTCGTAGGCAGAGGTTTGAGGACTTGACCAAACTCTGAGGGACTTGCATTTTACGCACAAGCAGCTCATCATCCCATTACAGCAATCCGAAAGTCTTTGAAAGCAGCTTGTGCAAGGGGAGGCATCATGAGCAACCCAGCCGAAACCAGAGAAGCAGGAGGAGCTGGAGCGGGTCCAAGCCTGGAAGAAAGGTACAGGGTGTTGGAGGTCCAGCTAGTGCTGCAGACGGCGAGGCTCGAGGAGAGGAGGGCTCAGGATGCAGAAAAGGGAAAGACCACCCTGCTCGCACGAAAGGTGCCAGGATTGGTGCAGAAGTTTGGGGGGGATCCTAGGAACTATCACGCCTTTAGGACAGAGATGCAATATGCTCTCAATCTGCAGTTTGATGACTTTCCCGACGAGGAGTCGCGAGTGGCTTTTGTGATTGGCCATCTCGAATCGGGGGCGAAGGACTGGGTTAGACCCCTGATGGCAGTGAATAATGAGATCCTAAAGGACACGAGGAAGTTTTTTCGCGCCATGGACTTGATGTTTTCCAGCGACATTGAGCAGGGAGTGGTGCACAGACAGTTAATGGCTTGCAAACAGGGGAGCCAATCTGTCCGTGAGTGCTGGACTGAGTTTACCATGTTGATCCATAAATTGGGGTGGGATCTATCGGCGGAGCCCATTCAAATGCTTTTCGAGGAAGGGCTTTCTTCGGCGGTGAAAGACGAACTTTCCCGGGCGCCCAGCTGACCAAATCCGCGCTGACCATAGGAGCACGCCAGGAGGCGAGAGCGTTGGAAAGGCGGGAAGGGAAAGGGGAGTGCTGGAGGTATTTCCGCATTCCAGAGATTCCAGAACCACCTTTCCCGCCGGCAGAGCCGATGGAAATTGGCACAGCGCACGCGCGCGCAGTTTCAAATCCCAGTGAAGGGCGGAAGAAGGAGGGGAAGAGCGCCAAGAAATGTTATCTCTGCCAACAGCCAGGTCACTTTGCCAGAGTTTTCCCACAAAGAAAGGAATGGCAAGGGATGGCGGGAGCTGTTGGGGAAAAGGAGGAGGAAGGCAAGGAGCAGGTAAAAGCCAACGCCTGGCTGCCACCGTCGGGGCACAGCAGCCAGGCCAAAGAGCAGTAAAAGTGCCCACGCCGGAACCTCCAAGACCTGCTTTAGTGATAGAGGTGTTACTAGAGCTGCCAAATGGATACCCACTGAAGATAAAGGCGCTATTGGACTCAGGCAGCTCCTGTAATTTCATGAGTAAGGAGTTTGCAGCTGAGCACCAGATACAAACTGTCCCTTTAAGTAACCCCTTGCAGGTGACCACGATCGATGGGCGGGAGCTACTGGGAGGAGAAGTCAGCCAACAGACGGTTCCAATGATAATGAGAGTGGCAAGGCACACCGAACGAATAGTGTTCAATGTGGCTACCTTGGGAGGAGCGCCCATTATTTTGGGGATGAGCTGGCTGGTGCTGCACGATCCGCTAGTGGGCTGGCATCAGAGAGTGGTCTCCTTTGGGTCAGCGCATTGCCTAGAACACTGCAAAGAGGGGAGGGCTCCGGAAGGGACCAGAGCCACCCTGGCAGGGACGGAAGTAACGGACAAAGGGAAGGTGCCCCCACAATACGCTGATCTAAGCAACGTATTCAGCGAAAGGGAAGCAGACAAACTGCCGCCGCATAGACCCTTTGACTGTCAAATCAATCTACTCCCTGGGGCCCAACTCCCAGTGGGCAAGCTGTATGCCATGTCGGACAGGGAGATGCAGGAGTTAAGGGAGTTCATTGACAAAAACCTGAAGCGAGGTTTCATCAGAGAGTCCAGAACGGTGGGGGGCAGCCCAGTGTTTTTTGTGGACAAAAAAACCACAGATAAACCGAGGCTTGTAGTGGACTTCAGGGCCCTAAATGCAGTATCAGAACCTCTGGCTTTCCCTATGCCCCGAATTGATGACATTTTGACCAGGGTGAGGAAGGGAAAGATTTTTACAAACCACCATGTTCACCCCTTTGGCGGCCTTTCAATATCTCGTTATGCCCTTCGGTCTACAAGCGGGCTCAGTGTGTTTTCAATCGTTTATGAACCACGTCCTGGGGCCTTTGCTCTACAAGAATTGTGTAGCCTTCTTAGACGACATGTTGGTATATTCAGAGAATGAAGAGCAGCATGTGAGGGACGTCCGCGAGGTGTTGGGCAAGCTGCAAGCCAACCAGCTGTGGGTGAAGCTGGAGAAGTGTCAGTTTCATACCAAGGAGGTGGAATTCCTGGGGTACCGCTTGTCAGACAAGGGATTGGCCATGGATCCAGGCAAGGTCCAAGCGGTACTGGAATGGAAAACACCGAAAACGAAGAAGGATGTGCAAAGATTCTTAGGGTTTGGAAACTTTTATCGGAAGTTCATAAAGAACTTTGCCCACCTGACGGCTCCCATCACTGACTGTCTCAGCAGCAAGAAGAAATTTGTTTGGACGGCGGAGGCAGAGCGAGCATTTGAAGCACTGAAAAGGGCGTTCGCTTCGGAAGAACAACTCCTGCATGTGGATTTACAAAAACCTATGAGAGTGGAAACAGATGCGTCAGACCGGGCGGTAGGGGCGGTGCTTCTACAACCGGGGAAGAGTAAGTCGGAGTGGAGACCGTGTGCCTTCTTCTCGCGGAAGCTGAATAAGTCCGAGAGGAACTACACGGTGTATGACCGAGAACTACTCGCCATTCACGAAGCGTTCCGGAGATGGAGGCATTTATTGATTGGTGCACAACATAAGGTGCAAGTGTGCACAGACCACAAGAATTTAGAGTATTGGAGAACAGCACGAGTGCTCAACCAACGACAAGTGAGATGGGCCGAGGAGTTCTCCAAATTCCACTTTGAAATTTGTTACGTGCCAGGCCCAGAAAACGTCAGGGCGGACGCTCTCTCGCGCAAACCTGAGTATTTGGAGGGGGAGGGGGCAACCGAAGAGAGACATGTCATCCCAGAGGACCGCTGGGTTTGTGGGGCGGCACTGGTGGGGCAAAGAGAACTGGTAGAGGAAACGGAGAATGATGAATATGCCCAGGATAAGCTCAGAGGTCTCAGGGGGGAGGGAGAGAGCCCCGGAGGCTTTGAGGAAAGAAATGGGGCATTGTATTACAAAGGGGCACTGTATATACCCGAAGGAGAATTGAGGGGGAGAGTACTCAAGCAGCTGCACGACAGCCCCACAGCGGGGCATTTTGGGCAACACAAGACCATGTGGTTGGTTACCAGGGAATTTTGGTGGCCTAAGGTGAGGGAAGATGTAAGGGAGTATGTAAGAGGGTATGACCAATGCCAGCGAGCTAAAGGGGAAAGGCGGGCGCCGGCAGGGTTATTAGAACCCTTACCCACCCCCGAACGGCCATGGGAGGCGGTATCGATAGATTTCATGACAGATCTGCCGAAGTCCAAGGGGAAAACAGCCATCATGGTAGTAGTAGACCTGTTAACTAAGATGTGCCACTTTGTAGCATGCTCACATGCAGTCACAGCGGAAGAGACAGCGAAATTGTTTGTAGAACACATTTTTCGGTTGCATGGCGCCCCCTTGAGGGTGGTCTCAGACAGAGGCAAACAATTTACGTCCAGGTTCTGGAGGAAGCTCATGAGCTTACTGCACGTGGAGGTCAATTTTTCGACTGCCCGGCACCCTGAAACCAACGGGCAGGCGGAAAGAGCAAACGGTGTCCTCCAGCAGTACCTGAGGTGTTATGTCAATGACAGAGAGAATGATTGGGTCGAAAAGTTGGCGCTGGCAGAGTTTGCCTACAATAATGCGGAGAATGTGTCTACAGGGATGAGCCCCTTTTTGGCCAATTATGGGTGTCACCCCAGGGCATTTCCAGGGGGAGGAGGGGAGAGATGGAGCGTCCCGGCGGCCAAACTTTTTGTAGAAGAGATGGAAGCGATCCATCGTCAGCTCCAGCTCAACTTAGAAAGGGCCAAAGAAGAATATAAGAGGCAGGCAGACAAGAACAGAAGAGAAGGTGAAGCCGTAAGGGTGGGGGATCAGGTGTGGCTGTCAACCCAAGGCTTGCCGTTCAAAGGGGGTTGCAAGAAGTTGAGACCCAAAAGGTTGGGACCCTTTGAGGTCATTCAGCAGGTCAACCCAGTG